GATCATAGAACAAAAGTCTGTGTTGGTTGAATGCTGGTTCAACGGTTAGTGGATTATGAATGTGAAAATGGGATGAGCATAACTGAGCAGTGGAATAGCGTGTCTGGGGACTTTCATTCTTTTCCATAACCTCTATAGTGATCCCAATACCGTGTGACCATAATCGACATGATACCGTGGCTAAAATTTGACTTGTTATTGTGAATATCTCTCACATGTCTGTTTAATAACATGCATGCTATAGTAGTAGTAAGTAAGTAATCTTTATTTATATACCGCCTTTTCACTGCAGATCTGAGTCTCAAAGCGGTTTACAATTGTTCATTTTTGGGCATTTGTCTCTCACTTCAGGAGGCACATGCCAGACCTATTGTACATATTTTTAGTGGTAGGGGAAACCGGAGCACCCTGAGGAAACCTACGCAGACACGGGGAGAACATGCAAACTCCACTCAGAAAGGCCCTGGACCAACTGGGATTCGAACCCAGGACCTTCTTGATGAGAGGCGAGAGTGCTATCCACTCAGCCACCGTGCAGCCCTATATGAATGAATACATAACCAACAAGAAGGCCATGTGTTCGATCCCCAGAACTCACCAGGGGCCCTTTCTGTGTGGAGTATCCATGTCTGAGGCGCTCCGGTTTCCTCCACCAAAAACATACAACTGTGGAGGAATCTGGTGAGTGAGTGATGGTGGTGTTTGCAGAGGCCGATGGCACAGACGGCTGCCCTACTCCTGTCACCACTTTGTAAAATGACCCTGGTGTGTGAAATGTGTGATATGACTGAAAATTACTCACTGCATAAGAATTATTGAATAGTCCTGCTCTTTAGGGATCTTTGCCAAGCCTGAAAAGTACTTTTAAATGATGTTTATTTTCCGTGCTTATTAGTTTTGGGACTTGTGGTGTATGCTCAATTAATATCTAGAATAGAGGGAACAAAAAGATTATACATGTTGTTAGTTACACAGCAATATTATCTTCAACCACGTGTGTCTCGTCCCCCAAATTTGTGCTGTAATGTAATGGATGTGAGTAGGTATTCTTTATTTGTATAGCGCGTTTTACAGACCAAGGTTAGCCAAAGTGCTATACAATATTCAGAGTTCAAAACACACGGTGATGACGGAATAGAGACGCTGAACACACTGGTGCATCAAAGCCCCCAACCAACACCCTCCATTCACTCACTCATTAAAATCCGACCTATTGCATGCTTTTAGTGGTAGGTCAAACCAAAGCACCCGGAGTAAACCTACACAGACACAGGGAGAACATGCAAACTCTACACAGAAAAGCCTGGAGGTGGAAGTGAACCCAGGACTTTCTCGCTGTGAAACACAAGCTCTGACTGCTGTGCCACCAATGAGAATCAATGTTAAGGATTATCTACTCTTTCTTTCTAGAGAATGGGTGTCAAAGTCAAGGCCCGGTGGCCAGATCCGGCCCACAAATTAATTATCTTGGCTCCCGGGATGATATTTTATTATTATTAGAACCAGCCCGCACAGAGCAATAAGAAAATATTGGATTATTCATTTAATGTTCAGGACATGTGTTTTCTCTTTGAAGGAAGTTTGTTATTGTCTGTGTCAACAAGCAATGGTGTTTGTTAAACTGCTACCTATACAGACTTCATATCAAAACATCTGTGTTCACCTGTTCCACCCACAACCGCCCAATAAACCAGCATCCTTTTATTTACAGTCAAATAAAACATTCTGAGATTAATCAGGAACAGTTTGAACTCAAAGATCACAAATCACACATAATCCAAGAAGTTTGCAAGAAATTGAGTAGATAATTCACATTCTGCCTGGACTTTTTAATAGTTTTAAAAAGGGAATAGTAACCCCCCCAGTATGTCTTGTTCCTGTCAGACCTGAGTCCAGGCCTGGGGGAGGATTTACGGTATTTTATACTTGCCAGACATTTTAGCCAGACTTTGGCATTTAAATTCTTCTTTGCACAGATTATTCGCACCTATAATCAGCGTAAATGAGTGAGTGAGTGGGCTAAACTAGAGGGCCAGAGTTCAGCCACTTGTTAGTGCCCAAAAGGGTTATCAAACAGTTTCAGTTTGTATTTACAGATTTAACTGGTGTTTGATGTGTGAAATCAGATTCAGATTCATTTATTTGCCATTTGCAGTAAAACCACATTGGAAAAACTGTGCAAGACTACCCCAGTGTGCACCACACACACCAGAGCTCTTGCCACGGCGCCAGATCAAATCAAAAAGTGTATCATTAGAAGGTCCTGGGTTTGATTCCCCTTCCAGATGCGGCCTTTCTGTGTGGAGTTTGCATGTTCTCCCTGTGTGTACATACTGGTACCACTACAGACACGCACAATAGGTCCAGCAGGTGCCTCCTGTATGGCGACCCTGCTTCTATCACTGTGGAGTGAATTGACAAATGCCCACAACAATGGTAAAGCTCTTTCACAGCAACGTCAAAAATGTCTCACATTTGGCTAAATGTATCTTAATTTGAGAACATTTTGACTGCCTTATAACTGGATTTGTGACAGTATTTGAACTGAGACTAAATGGCTTTGTCCCATTGGCAAGAGTTGTTTTAAAACGGTCAGAAAGTACTCAAATAAAGATAAAAATCACTCGACTGAAACTATTACTACTTCATATTTTATCATTTTTTTGCAGTGTTGTGCTCTATACATAAAGATCGCTTATTCTCTTGCTTTATTCAATATAGACTTAAATTTTTTATATTGTTTTCTGTTGGATTCTATCAAGGTACTTCCTAAAGTGTTGGGGACAAAGCTAAAGAGTGAGGCAGGGGCCTGTTTTTTTACTGCCACATAATGTTATGTAACCACGCTAACAAAATACCCAAACAATGTTCAGACAAGGAAGAAGACTTCACATTTTTCAGTTCCCTAAGCCATGAGCAGACACAGAGGCAGCGCTTCAAGACAATCAGAGTTTGATGGGACATGGGAAAGCTATTTCAACTAGTTCAGAAAGCTTTGTAGGCCCCCTATTTAAGCCCACTTAATGCTAATGCTATGTCTAATGGAATGGAGAGCTGCAACTAGAAAACACGCACAAGAAACTTTTCAGATGCCATAGTTGAATAATAATAAAGTCAACATAAATCTGCTGCAAATTTTTTTTATTATTATTCATACTTGTGTTGCCACTAATATTTTGCATATACTGATGAAACTCAAAAGTCCATTTACTTCTGTAATTCAACTTAAAATGTGAAACAAATTTATGCCACGTATAAGACAGTTATGACTCTCAGCTTGTTAAAAAATTAAAGAAGCCAAAATTAAAAAATTAAAACAGACAATTTGAATATTTTGAAAATGAACTGGCATATGTCAATGAAACGCAAATCTTCTTCTTTGAAATCTGTAAAACAGGAAAAATCTGGATAGAATAATGACAGCTACAACTTGCATCTGTTTTGTATAATGTAGCAGGTGGTTCAAGTGTATAATTGGATGAGGAGAGGGTTAGGTGGTTTAGAAAATGCACATAACACTGGCTTTATTGTAAAGGAGTTAAAGCGAGCAACCCAACTTGAAAAGGCTTAGTGGGATTCAGCTGAATTCATGAGGGAACATTGTCTTTCTCTGAGGGTACGAAAACTTCTACAACCACCTTATATGTTCTATTATCTGCCTTATATGCTCTTTTACATCAAGGTACCTCCAGATCGTCCAAAAATGATAAATGCTGGATTTTAGCAAAGAGAACAAGCTAATGAACCAGAGGACAGCAGCAGAAACGCACTGGGCACGTCTTGTTGCATGCAGTGTTGCTTTACTATCACTGCACATATTCAATCTTCACAAACAAAACACACAAAACCAGCCCTATTAGGCTTTTGTAAAAACAGAAGCAGAGAGCCAAAAAGACATTCATTGACTTTAATGGGATGAAGTGATCAACCATATCTAATAGAAATCATTGCCCCTGGCAAAAGCTGCTGTGGAATTGGATTACACATGGAACACAATGCTTTTACGGCTTCTAAGAAAACTGTAATCCAATCACTTTAGTACAGAGAAGAAACAGATAAACTCAAAATTATAACATTAAAAAAGTTTTTCCTTTATGCTGAAATTCGCAATTGATATAAAATGTCTGTGAAGTGGATTTCACCGACATGTCTTTCATGACTGGTGCAGGTAAACCATGTGAGCTGGTTTCCAGATTTCTAACATTTTAAAGATGTTTTGTCAAACAAGTCCATGTTTTCTTATTTGCAGATGAAAAGAACAGGTGGTTTGGAAAGGAGTCGTTGTTGAAACTACCATCTGTTGCTTTTATACTATGGAAGGAAGTCCCAGATAAACCCACAATTGGACTACAACAACTGCACTTGGAAAGACATTGTTCAATTATGATGGATCACGTGAGGAGAGAGAGAGAGGAATGGGCTGTTTAAAAAGCTCGCTTTTTAATGTGGTCTCCTCTAGAAGGAAGGGAGTCTTGGTTACTTTAGAATGGGCAGTCTTTCATCACACTCATCTGGACGTCAGGGGCACAGAGTCAGAACGCGCGAGCAGAACGCTATGAGAAGCAACGCTCGGTGATTCTTTTTTTCTACATTTTGATTTTATGTTTTAAATGACAACCACATCACCAGATGGTTTTAAATGTTAAGCTATCCAATGGCACAGAGGATGTGGCACTTTGGCTTAACTTATTTCCCTGATGTATTTGTTGCTATGAATGCACAACCATAAGGAGTTTAAGTCATTTGTCGTGCGTAACGGTAGTCCTCTAAACTTTTACGCACACCTCCAAACCTTTGCAAAGCTCAGAAACTCATCCTTTCGCTGCGATCAATGTACACAGATGTATGGCCAGTAATCCCAGTGGACAGCACTGACCTGTTTCGTTTATCCAAGAAAATTGTTGGTGTATTTCTCGCTCAGACGCAGCGCCTGAACGCACCAGCTCCGCCACAGGGGGCCAGCGCGCGGTGCGGGCTCTCGGCACACTCATCGGGAGAAGATGAATATCCAAGTCGTGCCAGAACACAAACTTTCTTCAGTGGCTCCGCTTAAGCAGTGCAACACGGAGAAGAAGGAGGTAGAACTGATACTTGTCAAGGAGCAGAATGGCGTTCAGTACACCAACTCGTCCATCCTGCCCTCCACACACGGAGCAGGTCCGCCTGGTTCCGCCGAAGATGAGCGCGAGACGTGGGGCAAGAAAATAGACTTCCTCCTGTCGGTGATTGGTTTTGCCGTGGACTTGGCCAACGTCTGGAGGTTTCCTTACTTGTGTTACAAAAATGGCGGAGGTGAGTAAACAAACAGACTTATGATGTGTTATTTTCAAAGTGTATAGCATTATGTTAAAGATAATATAGGCAAAAATATGAATAAAGCAAAATTCATTGTTTCAATAAATGTCCATATCAAGGGTTCAACTTTTCTTACTGAGGGTCTGCCACTCTGTCCAGAAAATGGGATCACTTTTTTTCCTCTCTTTTTTTTTTTTTTTTTTACCTGGAATGTTGTAAACATTATGCTATGACATACATCTGCATTGCTTAGTATACACACACGTGGAAAGTAGTAACATAACTTTAGCTAGTCTAGATTACTTCTCGAATATCAATTTTGGTGGTACAGATTATAATGAGATTCAAATGATCTACATTTATAGCACAGTAACTGATGGTGGACCTATCAGAAAATAATGCACCTTTATTGGAAACATTACGTTTGAAAAAACAAAATGCATACTGTAGACCGATACGTACACAGGCATCTCTACCATTCAGATAAAATATAGATGTTTATGAGTATGCCTGGTTTCTGTGCAGTGCATATTGATCATGATTTGATTGAGGTCAGCCGCAGAGGTAGAGTGAAAACTGTTGGCAGACTATTTCCATGATCTGATCAGATAATAATTTTTTTTTTCTTCTTTTAGTCATGTGAAATAAATGATTTTGCACACTACACACTGTATCACTGTATGTTACCTGAGAGTGAGCCGCAGTTGCAATCTTCAACTTTCCCCTCATCTCTCTCAACAAAGGTATAACTTCCTTGTCTTTCAGGTGCCTTTTTGATCCCTTATGTTTTATTTTTGTTCATTGCGGGGATGCCATTGTTCTATATGGAACTTGCTCTGGGCCAGTTCAACAGAGAAGGAGCGGCCACAGTTTGGAAGATCTGTCCTGTTTTTAAAGGTGATCTGGACACAAAAGGCACTTTCACATACGCCTGGTTCTTTGGGGGTTAGTACAAAAAGAGCTGGTCATTTTTTTGGGGAGGGACGTAGATGTGAGGCTTGCTGTGAGGTACGCAGTGATCCTGCAGTGATGTGTATTATTAGACCGGAGGTCACAGGATTTCACATTTAACTATTGTGAAACTATACTTCACTAAACACTTCACATTAGCTGCTGACAGTGTTGCTCATTTTTCTAAAAAACAAAAACAGTCTTAGTTCTAAATGACTTTAGCCAAAGTTACTACTACCAACAAAATAAAGTTTCCTTTTTCTCAAGTAATAATTAATAAGTTTAATCTGTAACTCGTCAATGAAAACAGACACACTGTACAGTTACAACATCAGTGAGAGACAGGGACACAAAACAGCCCTGGACTGGTCAGCTTCAGCTATCAATTATATGTTGGCTTTTGCTGTCATATTCACTGTATCAATTATTAAAGACAGAGACAATTTGTAGTTTAAACTGTTTGTTGTTCAAACCTTTGTGCTGTTCTAACTTATGCATGTTTAAACCACATTGCTCCTCCTTGATCACATTGCTCCTCATTATTGAATCTTTATTAATACTTCCTAAATATACATTGTATATGCATATACATTTTATTTAGTCATTCACAGAGGTCATGTGATTTTCCACCGATGGCTGCATTTGTTATGTTTTGCCGTACCCTCCTCCAAAGTGATCCGGGCCTAACTCATGAGTAGGATTTCTTGTAGCCAGCTTTGAGGGCTTGGCACGGCTCACTTATGTAGACACACACGACCTGTGCCGAACCGTCCTGATTTGCGCCTGTGTGAAAGTGCCTAAAGACACGCATGCCCCCTCCTTGCTCTCTGGCAACCTCTCATTTGCCGTACATTTCTCCTGGGCGCTGGCCTTTCATTTTAGCCCACAGTTGTAGTCCTTGTCCTGAAGGTGTCACTTAAAACTAATCTCTCTGTCACAGCGTGCTTGTCTCTTTCACCTCTGGCTTTTTCTTTGTTCCTGAACTCCTTGTTCTTGAACCCCTTAAACTGGTTCATGTTTCATTGTAAATGTCAAATCAATATCAATTCAACATGAACAGTGTGTGTCCATTGGAAGTGAAATCAATCTATTTGAGACATCAGAAGTAGCTTAATCACCAAAAAGGTCAAATTGAATACAGAATAACAATCCTTACAGAATATATTCATGTTGAGATCGGTTTATGTTTTCAATGTGAGATGTAGAATGTGCTGAAACAGGAGTGCATGTTTTCATTGGCCTCTCTGGTTAGAATTGTTTTTTTGGCTGAATGTTTAGAGGCTGAAGTTTGTGAAAATGAATGTAGTTTTTTTCAAACATTGCCAAAACTGCTTAAACACAATGAAACATTGCCACAGCTTGTTTGTCTTCTCTGAAGTAATGCATTTATTCTAATATCTGTTATTATATCCTTAGGCGTGGGATACACAGTGATCCTCATCGCCCTTTATGTGGGCTTCTACTACAACGTGATCATCGCCTGGTCATTGCACTACCTGTTCTCCTCCATGACGAGGGAGCTGCCCTGGCTCAGCTGTGGGAACAGCTGGAACAGCCCTAACTGCACTGACCCCCAATCCATCAACAGCACTGTCCTTGGAAATGGGACGTCATATGCCAAGTATAAGCTCACCCCAGCAGCAGAGTACTATGAGTGAGTTTCCGTTTATTCTGCTATTCATTCACTTATGAAATGACCTCCACATTAACTCATTGACCGCCAGCCGTTTTTTATGATTTCACTGATTCTCAAGACCCACAGAATATTATTTCCGTGAAATATGTGAAATATAAAACCAGATTCTGAAAGACTGGATTGTCTACTTTCATCAGCAAAAATAAGTTGGTTTCTAGCTGTTTTTATTGTCCTGTAATCCCCAGTTGAATCGAGGGTCTCAAACAAATACGTCAATGGCAGTCAATGAGTTAATAAATATTGTACTGGCATTGAATCTCCTCAAACATGTCAATGTCATTGTTGCCATGACGCTACGGACCGACTTATGCTTGTATGCTTGGTGGTTTGTGTGTCTGCAGGTACTTAGAGTTACTTTTGTAGGAAGTCAATAGGATAAGAATAAACATAGTGAAACTAGTTTTTATAGGTTTTCAGAAAATAGCCAACGTGTCGTACTATCCTCAGGCACAGGAGTAGTTCACACTCTTAATGTTTGAGTCAATATCCATTACAATTACAATTCAAACCATTGCAGGTAGAGCACGCACATGTTTCTGCCACAAATCAAGGCTCTTTATGGCCTGTGAATATTTTCTGTATCCTCAAAGTTGTCTCTGGTGCCGAGGTCTTTTGTGCGCACGTGTGTGTGTGTTTGCGTGTGTTTGCGAGGTGGAAAATCCAGTGATCCATTGTTGGTATTTCTGTCTCTGAACTATCAAGAAATCAATCAGTCAACCTTTATTTGTAGAGCGTCTTTCCCACACAAGGCAACACAAAGCGTCTCACAACCCTTATCACATCATGCATAAATCGTAAACTAAAAATGAAAATCTACTGTGCGTATATCTGATTTCTGAACATTGTAAAGCGCTTTGGGTGATCTTGGTCTGTAAAATTACTTACTTAAATTAGAGAATATGATAATTAAAGAAGTTAGTAATTAAAAACATTAAAACATTAAAATCACACATATATCTAAAACTGAACATTGCTAAGTACTTTGGCTGACCTTGGTCTGTAAAAGCGCTATATAAATAAAGATTTCTCACTTACTTACTCTGAAATATGCAACTGTCCTAGAATGATTCCTAGTTGTGTTGAAGACACTTAAAATGATCAATGCTTCACTGTTTGTCTTGACTGAGGCGTACGCATGAAAGTTCAAATGCAGCCTTTGAAGTACGCAGGAAAAACCGTTCATCTAGGTGCGATTCACAAACAGTTGGTTCTCCCCGGCCCCTGAGCGTTGGTGCAGGCCAGAGGAAGTCTGCTGCAGTGACCGGGGACCACACAATCTACTGACAGTGCGTCTCAGACACTATTGAGCTTTTTGATTTCCTTTTCCACATCCTCGTCTCTCAATCCACGAGTTTTAGTTTATGACTGTGAAATCCGGCTGGAACTGTTACTGAAACCCTGATATGAAGTTTTTTGGAGTTGATATTGGTTGAATTCCAACTGGACTTATCTGAGATGGACAGGCTAAACAATGGGGTTCTTCTTGACAGAGTGGGGTGGGCTTCTGTGGGGGGCAGTAAATCCTTCTCATGCAGTGAAGTGATGCCAAGGCACAACATGAACCCACTAAATCAACATTGTCTGGTGCCCTTGTGTCCTCGAGATGTTTTGAGTCTACTGCTATTGTCTAGTAAATGGTTTTCTTTATAAAATCTAAAATACCATTGTTTTTTTGCTGGTTTAAAGCACCCTAATTTATTGGCCAATGCCATTAGATTCATTTTAGTCTAACAAATGTTACAAGACCACACTCTCCGTCTATATAAAATTATATGAAGCCGCGTTCAGACCGGATCATGCGTTGCGTCGGCTTTCAATGCAAAGTCAATGGTTACGCGCGTTCGAGCGTCAAAATGCACAAGCGTCTTGGAATTCACGCACGGACTGCGCGGGGAAGTCGAAGGGGAGGAACGCAGGAGATTAATTTTGCTCAACCTTTCCTCGGGACGTTCGTGCTGCAACCAATCAGAGAGCCGCAAAGTGTTCACGGGGACATTAGCGGACTGAGCGAGCAGACTGAAAATACTCATAAACAGCCAAAACAGAAGCTACATCAGGACTAAACCAGGGTTGACCATGGGACATAGTGCTTGTGAACATATGAGTTTTCATGCTCCTGTGACTTTATGCAACTGCTTCGAGTGTGTTCGCCGATGCGGAAGTACCATCCATCCATCCATCCATCCATTTTCTTCCGCTTCATCCGTTGCCGGGTCGCGGGGGCAGCAGTCTAAGCAGAGACGCCCAGACTTCCCTATCCACACACACCTCCTCCAGCTCGTCCGGGGGGACTCCAAGGCGTTCCCAGGCCAGCTGAGAGACATAGTCCCTCCAGCGTGTCCTGGGTCTTCCCCGGGGCCTCCTCCCGGTGGGACGTGCCCGGAACACCTCCCCAGGGAGGCGTCCAGGAGGCATCCGGAACAGATGCCCGAGCCACCTCAACTGGTTCCTCTCGACGTGGAGTAGCAGCGGCTCTACTCCGAGCTCCTCCCGTGTGACTGAGCTCCTCACCCTATCTCTAAGGGAGCGCCCAGCCACTCTGCGGAGGAAGCTCATTTCGACCGCTTGTATCCGCGATCTTGTTCTTTCGGTCATTACCCAAAGCTCATGACCATAGGTGAGGGAGGGAACGAAGATTGACCGGTAAATTGAGAGCTTTGCCTTTCGGCTCAGCTCCCTCTTCACCACAACGGTCCGATACAGCGACCGCATCACTGCGCACGCTGCACCGATCCGCCTGTCAATCTCACGCTCCATCCTTCCCTCACTCGTGAACAAGACCCCGAGATACTTGAACTCCTCCACTTGAGGAAGGGCCTCTCCACCCACCTGAAGAGGGCAGGGCACCTTTTTCCGGTCGAGCACCATGGCCTCAGATTTGGAGGTGCTGATTCTCATCCCAGCCGCTTCACACTCGGCTGCAAACCGTCCCAGTGCATGTTGTAGGTCCTGGTTCGTTGGAGCCAACAGGACAACATCGTCTGCAAACAGCAGAGATGAAATCCTGTGGTCCCCGAACCGGACCCCCTCCGACCCTTGGCTGCGCCTAGAAATTCTGTCCATGAATACAGTGAACAGAACCGGTGACAAAGGGCAGCCCTGGCGGAGGCCAACGTGCACAGGGAACAGGTCTGACTTACTGCCGGCAATGCGCACGCAGCTCTGGCTCCGGTCATACAGGGACCGGACGGCCCTCAGCAGAGGGCCGTCCGTACTCACGGAGGACCCCCCAAAGGACACCCCGGGGAACACGGTCGAACGCCTTCTCCAAATCCACAAAGCACATGTGGACAGGTTGGGCGAACTCCCATGAACCCTCGAGTATCCGATGGAGAGTGTAGAGCTGGTCCAGTGTTCCACGGCCGGGACGAAAACCACACTGCTCCTCCTGAATCCGAGATTCGACCATCGGCCGTAACCTCCTCTCCAGTACCTTGGAGTAAACCTTACCAGGGAGGCTGAGGAGTGTGATCCCACGATAATTGGAACACACCCTCCGGTCCCCCTTCTTGTAGAGAGGAACCACCACCCCGGTCTGCCACTCCATTGGCACCGCCCCCGATTGCCACGCGATGTTGCAGAGACGTGTCAGCCAAGACAGTCCTACAACATCCAGAGACTTTAGATAGTCAGGACGGATCTCATCCACTCCCGGCGCCTTGCCACCAAGGAGGCTGCCAACCACCTTGGTGACCTCTGCCAGGGTGACAGAAGTATCCGCCCCAACATCCTCAGCCTCTGCCTCCGGAGCGGAGGACGTGACGGGGGGATTGAGGAGAACCTCGAAGTATTCCTTCCACCGTCCGACAATATCCCCGGTCGAGGTCAGCAGCTCACCCCCCGCACCGTACACGGTGTTGGCAAAGAACTGCTTCCCCCTCCTGAGGCGCCGGACAGTTTGCCAGAATCTCTTCGAGGCCGACCGATAGTCATGCGCCATGGACTCTCCGAATTCCTCCCAGTCCCGGGTTTTTGCCTCTGCAACAGCCCGGGCCGCGGCACGCTTGGCCTGCCGGTACTGGACAGCTGCCTCAGGAGTCCCTCGAACCATCATGGCTCGATAGGACTCCTTCTTCAGCCTGACGGCATCCCTTACTGCCGGTGTCCACCACCGGGTTCGGGGGTTGCCGCCGGGACCAGCACCAGAGACCTTGCGACCACAGCTACGAGCCGCCGCATCGGCGATAGAGGAAGAGAACATGGTCCACTCAGACTCAATATCCCCCTCCTCCGCCGGGACCTGGGAGAAGCTCTCCCGGAGGTGTGAGTTGAAAGTCCGTCTGACAGGGGTCTCAGCGAGACGTTCCCAGCAAACCCTCACTACACGCTTGGGTCTGCCAGGTCTGACCGGCTTCCTCCCCTGCCAGCGGATCCAACTCACGACCAGGTGGTGATCGGTTGACAGCTCTGCCCCTCTCTTTACCCGAGTGTCCGAAACACGCGGCCGAAGGTCAGATGATACGACAACAAAGTCGATCATCGACCTCCGGCCTAGGGTGTCCTGGTGCCACGTGCACTGGTGGACACCCTTGTGCTCAAACATGGTGTTCGTGATGGACAAACCGTGACTAGCACAGAAGTCTAACAACTGAACACCACTCGGGTTCAGATCAGGGGGGCCGTTCTTCCCGATCACCCCTCTCCAAGTGTCACTGGCGCTTCCCACATGGGCGTTAAAGTCCCCCAGGAGAATGACGGAGTCCCCGGGCGGTGCACTGTCCAGTACCCCTCCCAAGGACTCCAAGAAGGCCGAGTACTCTGCACTGCTGTTAGGCCCGTAGGCCGTCACAACAGTGAGAGACTTGTCCCCCACCCGAAGGCGGAGGGACGCGACCCTCTCATTCACCGGGGAGAACTCCAACACGTGGCGGCTGAGATGGGGGGCAATGAGTATGGCCACCCCAGCTCGCCGCCTCTCCCCGCGGGAAACACCAGAAAAGTGGAGCGTCCAACCCCTCTCAAGGAGTTGGGTTCCAGAGCCCAAGCTGTGTGTGGAGGTGAGGCCGACTATCTCTAGTCGGTACCTCTCGACCTCCCCCACAAGCTCGGGCTCCTTCCCCCCCAGTGAGGTGACGTTCCACGTCCCAAGAGCTAGATGTTGGGTGTGCGGACTGGGTCGCCGAGGTCTCCGCCTTCGACTGCTGCCCAGTCCTCTCTGCACCGAGCCGCCACGGACCCCTCTGCGGGTGGTGGGCCCACAGGAGGGACTGCCCACGTCGTCCTTTCGGGCTGAGCCCGGCCGGGCCCCGTGGGCTAAGGCCCGGCCACCAGGCGCCCGCTTTCGGGCCCCGACCCCAGGCCTGCCTCCAGGGTGGGGCCCCGGCTGCGCCATGCCGGGCGACGTCACTTGTTCTTTTTTTGTGCGATCCATGACGGGTTGTGGACTGCGCTTCGTCTGACTCGTCACCTGAGACCTGTCTGCCATGGGAGACCCTACCAGGGGCATGAAGCCCCAGACAGCATAGCTCCCAGGATCACCCGAGTACTCAAACTCCCCCACCACGTTAAGGTGGCAGTCCAGGGGGGAGTGTTCGCCGATGCGGAAGTACCATTTAATAATAAAATAAACTTATTGCGCACCTCCGTGAACACATACAACTGTTTATATAAAGTCCGTGGAAGGTTTCTGGACACAGAGACCCTGCAGAGCTGCCTTATTGGAGACGAACTTAACACAAAAACCTGCTAGCTTACTCCGTTAGCATCAAAGTCCGCCTGCTACTTCCGTCACTTCCGGCGCTGGCCAGGACATTCTGGTGTGAAGTCCCGTGCGTCTGAAAACTAGAGAATGTGCGTTCCAGCGTTGGCGGTCTGAAAGCACCATTAGAGATGGATAGAGAGGCTGATACAACAATTGTATTGAATTTAGATGTTAATATTGGAAATAATGTTGGACCAGGTATTGGTATTGACTAGGTCGATCCCATGGATCTATTATATTAACTGGATAGGGTATTACTAGCTTGTAGCTGAATAACCCATGTGCTCGGGGGATTCTCGCAGTACTGCAGACTAGACCAGACTAAATTCACGTGGGCTACCCAGAAATTTTCCCCATAGAACTCAATGCATATTAAAACAGCTCAACCTCAGCTGACAGAGAACCTACAGCTTTCATAAAGGTCGGATTTTGTGGGGATTTTAGTGTCCCTTGTCATCCTGAACTTTTTTTCTTCTTAAATCCTTCGGTTTTGTTTAAATCCACACTTTCGTGCCACAAACTCTGCTCGTCTGGCTCTCGCTCTAACTCCCGCTCTAATGAACTGCTCTGACTGGTCAGAGCGCGGCCGAGCCCCTCTGTCTACGTGCTTGAGACCCGGTGTGAGACCCACACACGCGTGTTTGGAGCAACGCATTATGGGAGATCAAACACTGCGTAGAACCGGGAGGACCAGACGATGCCCAAATACAGGCGAGTTTCCCATAGATCTTTGCGAGTTTCAGGCAACTTCCGCTAATCTTTCAGCCCCCATGCCGTCACAAAGCGCCACTGAGCACAACCATTCATTTGAATAGGGCGCCATCTTGGATCGCCGGGGCTTGGTCGATCCTGATTAGGCCTTTCAGTTGATGTAAAACTATTTAATGAAGGTTGAAACTATTTGACTGTATAAATACTATTTATACAGTCAAATAGTTTCAACTTTTATTCAAACAAAGTTGTCCTGTTGTTACTTGCAGGACTACAGTACATGAAGTGAAAAGCCACAATTGCGCTAGGTTTTTTTTTTCAGTATTGTATCATATCAGGTATTGGACACAAGAAAACGTGAATTGGTGCCTCTTTAGTTAGTATATATATTTCACTTTTTATTTCAAATTAAATTATATTGAATGTTTTATTTTGTTTTGATAGGAATGATTATACATCATGGTAAATTACAAATGTCAAAATTGAGGAGACTGAAAAACTGACAGGAATGTTTTTGGCCATATTGTTACAAGAAATTGGCCCACCCCAAGTTTCAGGATGTGAACATGATCTCCGACCTACTCTAAAGTTTTGCACATTGTCTGATTAAAGGAACTGAAATAATAAAACGATTATTGCCCTGGAACTGGAAGACAGCAACAAAGGGGTCACAAGCCACTGTTCTCTTTATGCTCGAGCCAAGCTTAAATAAACACAGGCTTTGAGACAGAGAAGACACTCAGCAAGACATTCGTGCAAACATCTTTGCAATGTTAGGCGTGCATGTTATTGGGGAAAGCACCAAATAGAAAAAAAGTTGAAATACTGTACACGTAAAATGTCTGAGAAGCTAAGTAGCAGTCCTATAGTTTATTATTCCCGTGAGCATATTTGGCATTAAACGTTGTATGTGGTTTGCCCATTCCTCACTGCTACTGGCCTGGATCACCTGCTATAGAATGGATGTACAGTTTTTGAGAAGAACGACAAAAAATGCTCCCTAAATATGCACAACTACACTCAGTATCTATGATCATAAAAGCACCATTCAGTTGCACGAGTTACTGTCGTTGGAGGGTTTGCGCTGATCCTGGCTAAAAGAGAACCGTGTCTGATTGTGTCATGGAAATACATGTCCTTGGATTCAAATGAATAATATGTGAGAGGGAAACTAAATTAGTGGACTGCTCCGCACTGGTCCAGACGCTCATTTTTATTCATTTTTAAAGAGTTCAATTTGTCCATTTTCACGTGACCTATTCATTGATTGCATTCACTTAAAGTGCTTTTACAGTTGAATGAAGACAACAATCAATGAAACATTTTGCTGAGATTGATATTTTATGTGTCTACAGTTCCCTTGGAGGAAAAAAAAAAATGAAAATCCCAATATTTAGAGAACTAAGTATGCACACAACATCACTCACAGAGGGAAACTGGTGAAACTGCAAAGTGGTGTACAGGCAGTTTGCTGAGTGGTGATAAGATTAAATGTGTTTAGAGTAACAGGACAAAAGGGACAAGGATTGATGTTATAGTGCGCACTTACAGGCTGCTATCAGCATTATCAAATGAACAAGGAGACCTAAGGGCATTGCTACGCCAACTCAAGATGTCCAAACTATAAATTCCCCTTGCAAACAAATTGTATCCTCTTGTCACTATCTATCTTCCTCTAGACCTCTGGAGATATCAGATGAGATAGAAGAGTGGCTGCATCCGACTCTTGTGAACTCTTGAAAACTTCAGAAGTTCGTGTTGATCTGGTCCTTTCCCTTTTCCCATTTTTTTTTTTGAACCACTGTATCCAAACAAGTCAACCGTCAATATTAATCCATCAGTCACCCTTCAGTTAATCAGAAATTTGATGTGAAACAGGCAAATGGTGAAACTCTGACTCTAACCCTGACCTATAAAATCAATAACAGACATAAAAAGGCCAATAGATTTAGTGTGATACAACCATAGGCTGTATATATTAACGAACATAGTCACGCCTATTTCTACCGTTCCAACTAATGGGCCAAAAATTGGGCTTTCATGGAATGATTCAAAATGGAAAATGTGAAAAAAAACGCATCTGCGGATGCGTCAGCCGGCACGAGCCCCGTTCATTTAAACGAGTGACTTAAAAAATTCCCAGCGAGTAAAATAAGGTGGTCCAAAAAAAAATCACCCCCCTCAGCATTGACACACATGTGGAACAGAGCTTTGGGCCAAGAGCCAACTTTTGGTCCATCCTGTAAAGACGTTTTCGAGAGGTCAGCTAATGCTATATGTTAGCATTGGCTAATTCTTCTTCTGGGTCCACCCCCATCGGCCCGGGGTGGTATTGCAAGCATGTCAGCGCACATCATTTTGGCCGGGACCCGCCCCCACTGGATACAACTTCTCATACAAATCTCATACAAGAATCATATCCTCAATGTGTTTCAGGATGACAATAATTGGAAAAAATAAAAATAAATTAAAGTTTAAAGAGAGGGATAGATGCAACTACTATTCGAAACATCATGGTAAATGTCCACACCTGTCTTACCTCTGTGTGCCACAAGGAGAAGGATAAACACTGTCACAAACCAGCCACACGTCATGGATTTGTATCCAGTGCCAGGAATAACAACTAAGAGTTTAAGTGCATTCCAATATGTAACTGGAGCTGTAGCTACTGTGGCTCCTGAAGCAGACATATTCCACCAAATACACAGCTTTCCACAAATACCTAGTTATTTCTATTGTATATATGAATTTGTTTATCATTAACAGTGTGTTATTGACAAATTGTTTAACATTGTACTTATTTTATTTTGTGAATAATTTATATAGCACAGAAGCATAACAAAAACACGTGAAAAGTGACTGTTATCGTACGCAGTCATACATTGGCCTCTAAAGTGTGGATGAATTGAAGGCTTTGTCCTGAATGCCCAGAGAGGTGGATGACAGTCTCCTGTAAACAGTTAGTCTCACGCTTGTAGTTGCTGCTCGTGCTACTGCAAACAATAGGAGTGTCATTTTGAGTGTGACCAGAGCTGGGGCTGCTGCCTTGGTCACATTTTGCCTGTTCATAACACAACTGTCATCAAAGCTGGCTCTTAGGAGAGCTGCAGCTATGCACTTTTCATAACTAGATCTCCTTATCATGACGGCATGGCCAAGGCAATAGACCAAAGACTATGATTATTGGGAAATGGCTCAACTCTGTAAGTACCTTTAAAATGAATTCATAATATTGAAAGATTATGAGTAATCTTTCAATAATATATAATAATACATTGTAAAACAGTTCGTGAAGTGGTGCTGCCAGGGAATGATGTGGTTGTTGTTGTTCTGTGCAGACGTGGTGTGCTACACCTCCACAAGAGCAGAGGGATCCATGACCTGGGCATGCCACAGTGGGACCTGTCCTTGTGTCTGCTGGCAGTGCTGTTCATTCTCTTCTTCAGTTTGTGGAAAGGTGTCAAGTCGTCAGGGAAGGTATGGCCCGCACATATCTTTATTTCCCCAAACCTAGAATGTTACAGAATGAGTTTCCTGTTGTTTTGACCACCAATGGCTTAACCTAATTATAAGTCGCAGCAAATTCTACGCAAATCAACTTTACATTACAATACTTTTGGATATCGGAATGGACTTACCTTGTAAAAGGCTTCTTCATAACCTTGTTATTCATGGCTTGATTTGATCATGTGATTGATCCGCATTGATTGATCAGATGCACAAATACTAAATCATAAAAGAGGTTCATGAGAAAATTCAAAGAACTTAACAAAACAAGAAAAGAAAAAAAGGCATTAAAATCATAAATATGAAATTCTACCAAAAGTGAACTTGTATTTGTGTGTTTTTCAGGTGGTATACTTTACTGCCACCATGCCCTATGTCGTGCTTTTCGTGCTGCTGATCCGAGGAGTGACTCTGCCAGGATCAATGGATGGAATTAGAGCTTATCTCCACATCGACTTAAAAAGGCTCAACAATTTGGAGGTGAGTTTTCCACCTTTTTCTACGTAATTTAGTAGTTTCATTGCGGTATTTACTGTATGTGGAAAAATTCTCCACATGCCTAATGTCTGATTCATCCAGTGGTGAAAAACACACTGAATCCATGAACAGTTGTTTACATTACACTGATTTAATCTGGACCGTGCACCATGTATTTGTCAGGGTGAGGACAAGTTTACCACTGAGAACATTAACAGGCAGTTATGTAAAGACCCATTTAGATTAGAAGCAGAGCATGCAAAAAGCCTTTCTAGGCTTTAACTGAACCAGATACATGTTGAGAAAATAAGAATTTGCAAAACCTTTGCATACGTGACGTTTAAACATAGAAGCAATGCAATACCTGCTTATGTGATGAATGGCATCTCATTGGTTTAACACATGTATGTTCCTCAATTATACATGATTTGAGTACTTAGTTAAGTCTAACATCTAAAAAGAAAGTTAAATGACAAGCAACAGTGGCAAAATATCAACATATAGATTAGGGCTGCACGATATATCAAAAAAATATTGTTATTGTGATATTGGTGCGATATCCTTATCGAAAAGGTGCGCAAAAAAATAAAATAAATATATACATACAGTATATATATTTTTAACAAAACAGACAGAAACATCAACAAGAACAACAAAAAAAATATATAAATATATGCATTTGAAGGTATATGCACTCTTAAGGGTCTATTGTGTACACCTAGTGCACTTGCATATAGTAAACTGTAGAAATGTATGTAGAATTTTATTTATGCATGCTTTTGATTTTATTCTGCTTTAACTTGTTTACACTGAGAGCCAAAGCAATTTAGTACTGTTACTCACATGTTACTCACATGGCAATGGCAATAAAAGGATTCTTATTCTGATTCTGATTCAATGCAAATTGCAATTAAGGTGAAAGACAAAAATATCGCAATAATATCGACACTCATATCGAATATTGCTCCAATTTCCAATATCATGCAGCCCTAATTTAGAGCCACAAGGACAAATGTGGAATGCACCTTTTACTCAGAAATACACATGTCTGTCTGTGTTTTCAATATAGGTATGGATAGACGCTGCCACACAGATATTTTACTCTTTAGGAGCTGGATTCGGTGTGCTCATTGCGTTTTCCAGTTACAACAAGTTTGACAACAATTGTTACAGGTAAGCATGTGACTTCCAAAACATAGTGTTTGAACAAACTGCAGAAGGAAAACAGGGGAAAAGTCATGGCCTGGGGCTGTGTGTTGGCTATTATGCGCTGTTACCCCTCACTGAAAGCAGATATTGGATTGAGTTCGTCTTATCTTTCTTCCACATAATTGGTTGCAGTGCCTCAGTTATAAGCAAATGCTGTTGGCAAAAAATCAGTGAAGTGAATTATTTATTTTACATTATACCCCCCAGATAAATCCTACCTTGCAGCAACATTTATAAGCGCACATTCATAAGGCGACAGTAGCTCAGTTGGTAGAGCATTGGCCTTAAGCCCAGAAGGTCGTGGGTTCAATTCCCACCTCTGCACCTTCTCCACCGACTCCCACTGATGACTGCTGTCGTTGTGTCCTTGGGCAAGACACTTAACCCCACTTTGCCCAAAGCCCCCACTGAAAGATCAAGGCTATGCTCACACTCAGAGAGCAGCCGTCCTCCTGTGGACTCACCACCTGCAGAGGATCAGTGAGGGGCTGGTGCTATGAGACTTGGGTGGCATCTCTGATTGCCACCCCCCTGACCCAGAAATGGATTAAAGGGTAGAAAATGGATGGATGGATGGACATTCATAAGGCCATTACAGTGGTTTGCCTGATTAGTTTCTTAAATGTTATGGTCTTTCCCCGATATCAGCTTTGACAAACTTATGTGTATCAAATGCATAATCACAACTAAGCAATAATTTTGAATATACTGATGATTCTAAATATCTTGTAATTTTTCATTTTTGTTATTCTCCTCAGGGATGCCCTTCTAACAAGCACTGTGAATTGTGTTACGAGTTTCTTTTCCGGATTTGCCATCTTCTCAGTGCTTGGGTACATGGCTTACAAACATGGGGTGAACATAGAAGATGTAGCCACTGAGGGTAAGTAGTTTAGTAACTTTTTTTTGTTTTGCCCAGGACACAAACACAATCTACGTGAATACAAATTTTGACTTGATATTGTCAATTGTGTACATAGACTGTATATTAGGAGAGTGTGGATGTCACCCATAGTGTTAGCCTAACACTGGAGGAGCTCGGACTATTTGAGGCCATTTTAGGGGAAATGTGGAGCGCAACGCATGTAATTTTTTTTGGTAGCAATGGCCGAGTTAATAAACGCCAATCAGCTAGCTTAAGCCTAATTCTGCGACAGAAGGCTCCTGATTGGTCAGATTTTCAGGCTCATATCTGGATGTACTAAGAAAATATCATACAAAAACACCCTGATTGAAGAGAGTGCTAAACCATGGATGTTTTAAGCCCAAAATAATGATAGTGATGTTTTTTGTTGTTATTTTTTTCTCAATTCATGTTACTCTGAGCAAAACTTAGTCTATGACCACAAGGGAGTTAGCAACGTCTAACTGTATACAGTCTAGGATTCTGTCCTAAAAACGAAACGCAGTGGAGAGCTCCAAATAGGCAATGTCCAAAAATGTCTTGCCGGCAAGACAGCGAATGAAAGGGCTTCCATCGTTTAGCCACTAATAGCCCCACCAAAATCTTAAGACATTTATTTCCTGACACTTTCCCACTTTCCCAGGGGCCGGTTTGGTGTTCATAATCTACCCAGAAGCCATTTCCACTCTGCCTGGCTCCACGTTTTGGGCCATTGTCTTCTTCATCATGCTGCTGACTCTGGGACTTGACAGTGCAGTGAGTGCTTACTTGATGTGACGATAATGAGCTGGTATTGTCCTTTCCTGTCTGACTTTGTGCTCATTTTGTAGATGGGAGGCATGGAGGCCGTCATCACCGGTCTGACCGATGACTTTAAGATTCTCAAGAGGAATAGGAAGGCCTTCACCTTCGCCACAGCCTTTGGGACTTTTCTGATTGCTCTGTCCTGTATAACAAATGTCAGTAGTGAATTATTTTGCACTCCTTTTACACGTACATACCACAACTTTAAGATCCATTAAACATTACATTGTTATACTGCTTTTTGGAGCGCTGTTTGAGATAAAAGCATCCTATTCTGAATTAATAGTGGTAACTTGCGTGCAGAGAAGAAAACTGATACCTCATGATACTGGTAACAACACGCTAACTCGCCAAAAACATTCCATTTGCAATCCTTCAAATCTAATTTATGTTCTTATCTCGAAGGTAAATAACACTTCTCATATGCTATTCTTCAATATAACAAGAAAAGAGTTTCTAGCATTGATAAACGCAGTCTTTGTTGTTATTGCTCTTTTGACCCCCTTGGGCACTGTCAGTAATGTGTAATTGCAGCTCAGAATACACAGTTAGGTTGTGCTTATTTATAATCACGGATGTGGAAAATGCGTTGGATTGCTGCATGGAAAAACCCTTTGACTCTTTGTGAGATAGGTGCACTAGAATTACTTCTGCTTGATGATTATGTTTTAGATAATCATCCTGAACTCTATGAATTATGTCCAAATGTACAAACATCTCCAGACTTTTCTTATTATTATTTTTTTGTGGTAAATATTTTATTCATATTTCCATTTTCGTTTCTGCCACCGATTCATAGGTACATCTAACATGTGACCCGAATTGTTACATTATTGTCCTTTACATGTCAAAACACATACATGCCTACAGTACATTAGCCCTCACATCTCTCACTTACCCCAAGTGCACCACACATACTTACTTTCACCCATCCATCATTCGCAACTACAGTACAAGAGACAAACCAGTATTTTTTGAAAGACTGAACATTATTTAACAGCTGTATCGTGTCCCATGTACAGGGTGGAATCTATGTGCTAACACTGCTTGATAAGTATGCGGCTGGGACATCCATACTGTTTGGTGTGCTGATTGAGGCTATTGGAGTGTCATGGTTTTATGGTAAGAAACTCACACTCACAAAACAGAACAGACATGGTGGTTATTGAATTTTAGAAAGACAATCATGATGCAATCTCTAAGAAAACAGGGCATGCAGTGAGCGGAGTATTAAGGAGTTCAGCATTGTCTTTCTAAACCTCACAGTGGGAATATATATTTTCAAACACACTGTGTCTGTGAACTAGTTTAATGTAACGTTTGTTCTATGTGTGCTTCAGGTGTGGACCGCTTCAGTGATGATATTGAGCAAATGATGGGCTTTAGGCCAGGGCTGTACTGGAGGCTGTGCTGGAAGTATGTGAGCCCAGCTTTCCTGCTGGTGAGAGCAACACTTACAGCACACTTTGATATGTTAACAGAATTACATTACCCACACCAGGGGGTAATGCAATCACCACGGTTTGTTTGTCTTTTTGTCTCTCTGTCTTTCATTTGATTAGATTGTTATGGTTGAACTGCATTTCTCATACAATTAACAAATTATTTCATTTTTCTGCTCACTGCCTGGACCGGGATATTAATTAAGGAATGGAACTTTGTCAAAAATTATTCTACCGTCTTTCTTGCAAATAGAATATATTATGACACGCAACCCAACCCCGGCAGAGCACTGCACAATTGCAGAAGAAGGAAAAAGAGAAGGGAGAGAGATTTTGAGATGAGATGGTGGTAGCTAGGAGAAGAATGAAGGAACTGGTCTGGAACGAGGTGGACATGGGGAGGAGTAGGGTTGCAGCATGAATGAAGCTGCTGCTTGGATGGAGCTTCTGCGCGATGTGAAGCTGATGCGGGGAGTGCCTGATGGCTGCAGAGGAGGATTTGCGTGTGGCGCTGCAGAGCTGAGTGTGATTGACTGATTACTGTTGCTGTGGGCAACAGCAGAAGGACTTTGTGCGCTGTGAGCTAAGTTATCTTGTTTTCCAGTCTGAATTTCCGCTTTAGCTTTGTCAGGCAAATGAGGGAATGGAACTTCACTTCACCTACGAGTGCTTTTTTTGGTGATTTAATGATCAGTTCTGCAGCAGTTCCACAAATTCCAATGCACATCCCCAGAAAGTTCCGCTGATCCACAGAATCACACTCAAAGCAATGCACTGAGACACTGAAGGCATTGAAATCCAGGTTCACTCAGTCAGTTAGAAAACAAAAACAACATATTGACGGCACTAACCTAATGATTGGACATTATTAAAGTACAATTGGTCTATATAATTATTAGATTTATTTTAGCTTTCAATCATGTTTCAACATTGTTCCCTCATCAAACACAGAGCGGAGCAGTTGTTTGCACAAAAATGTAAACTTTCTGTCTAAACTAATGTAGTGCCCATGAATTAGTTTAGGTGAAATTTATCAGGTGAAATTATGTTCTTAAATATTGCATGGCTGTATTTGCAGTCAGTCATTTTCAATTTTGAACTCCTCTCTTTGGTGGTAAAACACATATTTTAGCTTGAAAAGACAAATGACAAATGCAATGTAATATTTTCATCTCATATCCATTGTGAGATCAATAAAGTTGAATTGAATTGAATCTTATATGCGTCCCTGGATAATAGGTCCACATGTACATGTCCTATTTGACTTTTTTTAAAGGAAAAGTTTAATAAAAAAAATCCAGAGACATATTTCTCATAACATTTGTGTTTAGGGGTTGATAGTTAGTTATAGGTGACATGTCGCTGGGTTTATATACCCAGTAGATGTCACCCTCCTTCGTGTTATCTATTGGAACCTGGAGTTCAAACACACACTTCTTCCATTGTGGTGCCTCACACCAGTCCCTGTGGTAAACAGTAGATCGGTCCACGTGCTCTAGCGGAAGAGCAGAGCTTTGTCAACTGTTCACGCACTTCCTCTCATTCACCAAGTTGTCTACAACATCATCTAAATAAATATTGCAAATTACCAGCTTTAGTCAGGAATAATTGTTTATAAAACAAAAAGAACAAAACATTATAAATGAACACAGTGTCAACAATTGTTTGTGGAGGTAAATTGTTCACAGACAAGCTTTCATGCCTCAGAGGAAAATGGTGTGCTTGTCCGAGATTTGAACTTTGATTTAGCAGTGCTGCATGCATGCTGTGATACATTTGGAAAAATGTAATTACAAACAGTGACACATCCATTTTGTGCTATGTGCCGTACCTGCTTATCTTTTTTGAAATGTTATTTTACACCTGGACATACTGGAATTTAACTTATATATATTTCCATGTTTAAAAGCACATGATGTTTCCGGGTCAAATATGGCGAGGTGCAATTAACATAGTAATAAATACAGATACATAGGTTTAATACTAAGAATGTGCTCAATCTTGTTACTGCAGTAAGTGCAGATTCAGCAGTATTAAAATACCCCTGTAGAAAAACACATACATTTAACACATATTTCCAGGTTGAGCAGAGCAAATGTTTTCACCTTTAAGCCTAGCGTACATCGGACTGGCAACTGATTATATCCGTCGCATACGAGTGGCTGCCCCGCACACATCGACAATCTGGCGAAAACGGGCAACTCCCAGTAGCAGACCAGTCTCGGGAATAACAGCGCGTACATCGACAGCAACTGTCCGTCAACTACAGTGTGTTTTCTGACATAAACTGTTGCGGGCTCGCAATACACGCAATACACACACGTTGTCGGAGCGGCGCATGGAGCGCGCACATCGGGTCATATCTCCGAGACTGAGGACAACTAGTTGCCGAAAAGTAGAACACGGGCAACTGACTGAAACTGGAGACCGACTGTTCATCTCCAGTTGTAAGAGCGCGCACATCGACCGATTTCGGCAACTGATCATCTCCCACCATCTCCTCTCAGTTGCCAAAAGCCGCCTTGCAACTAGTTGTCCCCAGTTTCTCTGTCGATGTGCGCTAGGCTTTAGTCAGCATTAGAAACTTGAAGCAATAGTGCATTACAAACAAGCTGGGGGCTTAAACGCAAAATCTCTATGTACAAGTCACTGAAAATGATTCAAAGTCAAAGTATTCACTTAAGGATGTAAAAAGTACAGATAACAAAAATTCAAGGTCAGTTCAGTACTTTTTTTTTGCTATTACTGTAAATCCGGGATGTCTAAACTGGGGCCACTTTAGTTAAAAGGCTTCCGCAGTGGCCAACAACATGGATTGGACTAGATTCGGTCTGTTCTGGCCTTTAAAATGGGGTATGGTACTGTATGTCAACATTGATTCGCACAAAGGGTACATTACTGCTGCAATCAAAAACATGATAGTATATACAAATAATCTTTACAACAAGATATATCATGACTATATTGTAGAGCTGAAGTCGAAACTGTGAAAATACCTCAATGGCTACTTTGTGTTAACGAGGCTGAGAGCCACATAACATGACACAACGGGCCACATTTGGCTCGCGGGCCTGAGGACATGCCTGCTGTAGAATATTAACATTATGGATTTCACAAATTCTCCACACATCACCTTTGGCATTCCCTCTGGCATTTGTTCCATGTCAGGCAGAGTTTTGTAGAATGGCCTTTACAGAGGCCTGCAGTGGTCCCTGGGAATAAAGGCCAAGTGGGACCTGTGTCTCAAACAGGTGGATCAAGTTAGAATTGTTTGAATTGAGCATATACAGGTCCTCAGGCAACGTCACTTTCTGAGTAATATTGCGTTAAATAGAGTGCTGAAATTCATAACATGTGTTCTGCCTGTTTCCACCTTTCCGTCTGTATGCCTCATTCAATGTATTTAATCATTTGTGCTAAATCATAGAACTAAACAATTGTCATCAAACCTCTCATTGTATTTGTCTCCACAGTTTGTTGTCATAGCCAGCACCGTAACAGCAACAAGCCTCAAGTACGATGACTACATCTTCCCTCACTGGTCTAACGTCCTTGGCTGGGGCATTGCCATGTCATCCATGCTATTAGTTCCTGTTTACGCCGTGTATAAATTCTGCACTGTACCGGGAAGTTTCAAGGAGGTCAGTATGAAAACCTGTGTGAAAAAGGGAAATATCCGTCATTTAGATTCTGTAGGGTCTACTTAGTGCTTTAATGTGTGGAACTAATGCAACAGGATCTCGCACCCTTCACAGAACTCATTGCATAACCCTTTGTAGATGTTGTGATAAGAGACAGTCTTCAACTTGAAAAACTATCATTTATAACTCTCCTTTATCAGGGAACATTCCTGCTCTCAGCTCATGACAAGTGCAGGGAGAGTAGGTCCATCAAACCAATGGGGATTTATTTACCCTCATCATCAAAGCATTTTACAGAATCACTCATCGGTCAAATAGTGCCAGTTCCACTCCAGCACAGAAAAAAGCTTGTTGTGATAAGGATTTCTAACTCAACACATTTCAAGAACAACATTCACAAGAGTAGGGTTGCTGAAATTAATTACAATTATTATTTGATATAAGCTCTTAAACACAAAAATTGTTAATTTTTTTTAGCACATATATTTGATATGATATAATTGAATGCAACTAAATACTTCGAAAGTATAGTGTCATAAAATGGTGGTATTAAACAGTATAACACAAACAAATCAAATTATAAAAATAGGATTTATATTAATAATTGTATTCCTGCTTTACTTTCATTTTGCATATCCCTTTACAGACGTCAGTTATTATGTATTATTGAGTTCGGTTCATTGCCAGTGGGGGCGGGTCCCAGCTCAAAAGTGGCCAAAAACGTACGCTGACATGCTTGCAATACCACCCCAGGCCGATGGTGGTGGACCCAGAAGAAGAAAAAGCAAAAGTTGGCTCTTGGCCCAAAGCTCCGTTCCACATGTGTGTCAATGCTGAGGGGGGGTGAATTTTTTTGGTCCACTCTAGTTTACGCTCTGTGAATCTTTGAAGTCTCTCGTTCAAATGAATGGAGATGCGCAGATGCGTTTTTTCACAATTTTCTTGTGGGCGGGATCACTCACGACCATTTTGGATAGCTCCAGTAGAGCACATTTTTTGGCCCATTTGTTAGAACGGCGGAGATAGGTGTGACTCTGTCAGTTAATATATACAGTCTATGTTCATTGCTATCTTTTACATTTTTACTCTAAATGCCCCACGCCCCTTTAATTCACCTTATTATACTGTTGCTAAAAATTCTAAATCGAAGTTTTTCCAGGGGGCGACAGTAGCTCAGTTGGTAGAGCATTGGCCTTTGAGCCTGAAGGCTGTGGGTTCGAGCCCACCACAAGACCTACTTCATGACTCCCACTGATGCCTGAAGCCCCCGCTGAAAGATCAGGGCTCCTGTGGAGCAGCTCTGACTGACACCCGCCCGACCCAGAAATGGATTAAGGGGAAGAAAATGGATGGATCGATAGTATGGCTAATGTATTTATTCAATGCAGAACAGTGAAATGCAGTGCGGCCACATGAACATTACCATTATCAAGCTCACAGCGTTTTATGAATTCATAAAATGACCATGGCCTGCCCCCTGCAGCGCACTCATGTTACTTCTTTACTCTGATGATCTGTTTCATCTGAGAGCAGAGGAACATATGGAGAATGAGTGCTGTTTTTTCCCCCTTGAAAACATGAAAACACAAGCTGTTTAGGATTTATTATAGAGCAGTGCCCGCATTGAGCACATCTGTTTTTAAACAACTCAGTCTTTATACAGTAAATATTAAATTGTACCAGTGACTGACCAGAGTCCAGGACTGTTTTTTGCCCCAGTCCTCCCCTGCATGGATTTAACTGCAGGTCAGGATCGTGTTATTTATTGTTGTTGATCAGACCTAATGCCTCCACAGAGCGAACCCTAACCCAAGTGCAAAGGAGTTTGTGTTGTGTCTGTTCTGTGCAGCCTCTATCTTCATATGAACACATGTGTATCAGTTCAAACAAACCTGAATGCCCCAAAACTCTTAAATCACCATTTTCACTGTCTCTGTACAAAGAAATTGATGCTATATCAAAACCAATATCAAACCAAGTCCCAAATGCACACATATTAATAAATACGGTTTTAGGGCAAAGTACCAAGTGGAACTGTGCCTCTAGGAAGGGGTCTGCACTCTATGATTGTCAACGTTATTCATTAATATTGTGACTATAAAATGTGTTGTTCAAGACTCTGTACATACCAGACTGTCAAAATGTCTAGTTAAGTAGGTACTCTTTATTCATATGGCGCCTTTCACAGACCAGAGTCACAAAGCGCTTTACAATCGTTGTAAGCATCGCACCACACATAACTGGGAGTGGGGTTGCCAGTACAGGAGGCGCATACCATGTTGTTAGTGGTAGGGGAAACTGGAGCACCCGGAGAAAACCTACGCAGACACTCAGAAAGGCCCTGTTCCGAGCGGGATTTAACCCCAGGACCTTCTAGCTGAGAAGCGAGACTACTATCCATTCAGCCAACATGCCGCCCAGAACAGTGTGATGGAAGACCTCTGTTATTTGGCAAGACACTTTACCCACATTACCATTGATGATTGGTGGTGGTCAAAAGGGCTCAGATTGGCCGCCCCCTTTCATCATTTACAATTAGATAGATGCTTCATTGATCCCCTGAAGGAGAAATTCAGGTGTACATACTGTATATTAGGTCACAGCAGCAGAGGAGGAACAGTCGCTGGTGATGAGCTGTTTGCTATAATCTGGTTAATGTACGTAGTCTGCTTGGTTTGGACCATTTTCTCTGCTCTGGTCCGAGGAGAAAAGAAAAAATGGCATTCCTCCAGTGGATGTCTCCTTGATCTACTAGGTTCGGGTCGTGCATCCTCCCTGCTCTGGTCTGCAGTAAGATTTACAGCCAAAAAAAAGCTTAAAAAATATCAATTGTAAAGAACAGGGCTACCTCAGACCTGCTGCCGTTTCCAGCGCATTCAAAGATTATTCAAAGTCCTACATAAATCCAATGCATCATACTTATTATAATTTACTCCGGGGAAACTGCAGAATACCAGAAGATAGAGGATTTCATGTGAACACCCAGAAGCGAAACAAAATAAATGAAATGTTGCTGTCATTCTTCGCAGCGAATCGCCTATTGTATCACACCTGAGCAAGACTATCACAAAGTAGCCGAAGGTGACGTACGGCAATTCAAAGTAAGTTGTTACCTTTTCTTTCTCAAAAAAAAAACCCATAACAAACTGTGAATGACGTCATCTTTTGAATTTCTTTTGCCCACAGCTGAAGCACTGGTTAGCCATCTGAACATCCTGGTTTTCTCTGAGCTCTAAGATCCCCCATGCTGCCCTAGGTCGGAACATTATACTTAAACACGAATTATATCACCATTTTCATACTAAGCACACAAATGGGGCAACATGTAGGTAAATGTTTGGATTGTACTTTTTTATTACATTTATTGTGTTTATTATCAATAGTATACACATAAGTATACGTTGTGCTATTTATTTATTATGTTACAGCATGATATGCTGTTCTCGCCTCTATCGGCAGAATTTCTCATCTGTGTCAGTGCCTTATCAAACCAAAAAAAAACAAAAAACGCTTCATATTTCACTGTAAACAAGGAGAGACTGTTTCAAGTGTTGACTCAGGAACCCACTATATCAAGTGTGTAGACTGTTATCTTGCTTTTCACACGGCTGAGAGGTGAGAAACATGTTTGTTGTTGTTGGAACAAGACAATTGTCACACTTTTCATGTTTGTTACAATGTTTTGTGAGATGCACCAGTGCGCTATAAAGTTTGTTGAACGTTAAAATGGACATGACAGGTTTATCAACTCGTTTTACTCAAAATCTGTTAAAAGAGTCATAGTAATATTGCAGATTATACATTTTTAACAAACAGCACATTTACTATAATTTAACTTTTTAACCTCCTGATTGTAAAATGATGACATCACAAGGGATTCCTTTATTGCATTCTGAGCAAATTATTTTAGGCGTTATTGGTAGGTTATAGAAAAATGTCCCATGCTTTGAAAATTGTCTGGGAAAGAGAACGGCACAACTGAAAACCTACCAAGACACGGCCGGAAAATGGAAATCGTACAATTTTTTTTTACATTTTTTTATGTCCCTACTGTGATGTCATTGTTTAACTGCCTCTATAGATATAATGTTCAGCCTATTTTCACTAAGTGCTTACAGCTTGGATAGATAGATAGATAGAGATAGATAGATAGATAGATAGATAGATAGAAAGATAGGTACTTAATTGATCCCCGTAGGAGAAATTCAGGATGTGTGTCATTCACATTTACAACATGTATAATCCCACAAAATACAGATAAAAATAGATTATTTTTAAACAGAAACCTGTCTTATGCACTTTAAAAAAGTTCTTGTTCCTACAGAGACAAACTGGCTGCCTCCCCTGTCCATGTCATCCGGATCTAAAAACACGGGCCCAAGGAAAAGGTCTGATTGGCCCCTGTGTGTTAAAGGGAATTTACATACACAAGCTTTAAACTAACCAAGGAGGGCTTATTTTGTGCGAAGTAATATAGATGATAGTTATATGTACATTAGCCTTCATGACTGTTGCTACTGTTGTGCCCTGATTGGAACCTTTTCATGTTGGTGAGGACGGATGTATGTGTTGTCTACTGTTATATGGAGAATGTTATATAAATATGTTGTCCTTTTGTTTTTATGTTTCCAATGTCAAGTCCTGGCATGTGAGAGAAATTCATGATTATAATTTTTTAACAAGAATATTTATTGTAAAAAGATCATTATAAAACACGTAGGGCATATTTGAAGGAGGTAAGCCACAAAGAGAAAAAGAATATATGTGTAATAAATAAGAATCTAAAAAGTACGTTCTTTTATTATATATAAAAAACATATAGGCTATTTAACAAATTGTTTATATCGAGACGTGAATGTAAAGTATTTTAAGCGTTGATGTTTATTGTTATCACCTTGGTGTTTGATGTATGTATGTAAGAAGTATACAAGTCTCCTGTTCTGCTATCTCATCGATTATGAACTGTGACCGAACACTTGGCTTTTCTGAACTATGTTTACAGAAAGTAAATGTACTCATACCCATGTGATGTCGAGAGTGACTGACACATACAGTATCTATGAAGAAGTATGACATATTTACACATATTAAAATAAAGAATTTAACGGAAGTGATTGTGTTGTTTTTCTATACACAGCATGTTAATAGACAATAATGGTCAATGGTGCAACTTCAATCAAAGGCATTTAGGACCACTTTGCCTGAAGTCCCGCCTCTCGGATAAAGATGTGTTTTCCACTGTTTTTTTTTTTGGTCTTCTACTGTCTTTCCACTCTTCTCAGTGTCCCCCACAGCTGTTTTTCGCTTTTGCTTCTCCTCCATTTTTGGCATAATCACAAAGAACCAGTGTTTTCCGCTAACCGCAAAATAATTCTCTGCAATTATCTGAGCATGTGCCAGCCCAGGAGAAGGGGACGTGTGACTGGTGCTGAGATTATTAAGATAAGATACTCCTTTATTGTCTACCATAGGAGAAATTTGTCTTGGGACAGACACATTATTTAATGATTGACAGGTAATGTTCGTGAGGCAGACCATATGGATATTATATTACATAAAACCTTCTCCTTTCACTTTTCAATAAAACATAATATTTTTGTACCCTAGAAACAATAAGAAAGTACAGCATGTTGGCTACAGTACTTTGGGATCCTTTTATTTATCATATACAACACAAATTGATTATGTACTGTGAGGTGCAAAGGTTTGTGGACCGGATCAACATGTCATTGTCAGCTTTATTTGTATAGCACAATTACAGCCACACCAGCTGCCAAAAGTTATTCACATGCACAAAAAATATAAATGTCTAATGTGCACAATAAAGCTAGAGAAAGATTAAACATTGTCAATAAGGCCTTTAAAGAAACTTTATCATATTGCTTTTTTGAAACATAAAATTGAAAGGTTAGAGTAAAGATGTGTACGCAATAATGATGATGAAGAAACACTGTTTTTGTCTGGGCCGTGTTAATCGACCGGTGATTTTCAAAGCACAAAGGTCAAGACTACAAGTTCTTATTACGTTTACAACATAAAAGTCAGAAAGGAAGACTTAATGTTGCTGCGTAATTGCAAAACCTTAATTTGCTTTTTAAGAACCAATAGCAATACATCTAATGCGTTACAAGCAGATACTTTATGAACAAAAGTCAAAGGATACAATACAATACAATACAATTTATTCTTGTATAGCCCTAGGTCACAACAGAAGTCATCTCAGAGGACTTAACAAAACCATTGAAATCACCAACACAGGTCAGAGAATCAACAGTTAAAACACATGAAAAATATAAAGCACACACAGAAGAAAATGTCCATACATGTTGTAGAAAGTGTCCTGATCATCACCAATCCTTTCTGTTGGACACTAACTGTCCAACAAGACCCTCCTGCATCGACAAGGAAAAACTCTTAAAAAACCCATAAGATGGGAGACAAAGTATTGACATAGTTTTGAAATATAAGTGATCATAGGAAAATATATCCTAATAGAATATCTTCAAACCGTATGGTGGAAAGAATTATTAATTTATTTTACTGCTTGAAATTAGACTCTTGACTTTGTAGAAATTATTATAAGATACAGTAGCTTGAAAAAGTATTCTTGCTCCATTTACTTGTACATGCACATCATAACCAAAAAAACATTTATGTTTGTGTGAAAAACCACCACAAAGTAGTGATTAGAAGTGATTGTTAAACATTAAAACAAAAGAAAAATGATTCATGATTTTATTGTAAAAAAAAATCTAATTCTGTAAAGTGAGGCTTGTAATAGTATTCTGCTCCTTTTCTCCGAGTGAGGCCAACTCAGTATGTCTCCCTAACCTTTAGAACTTTCCTTATTATTGATGAATACTCACATGTTTAACTAACTTCTAAGTGTAATCTAATCTTAGTATGAAAGCTGATCTGTGATGGCTGAAGGTTGGATAAGAGAATATTGGTTGCAAAACAGCGTCATGAAGTCCACGAAACTCACCAGAAAAATCAGGGATGAAGTTATGTAGGCTTTTAATGCATGGCTTGTTAATGGAAAGATTTTCCAAGCTTTCCCAACATCATACAGAAATCTTTTTAAATCATGACAAGACTCAGCTGCCTGTCCAAACTAACAGCTCACGAGGCCATGGAAACTCTGGTGGAGCTGCAGACATTCATATCTTACCTGGGGGAACCTGTGCAAATCTGGGCAACTATTAGTCATGCACTACATACATTTGTTGGACAAGTGGCACATAGAAAGCCAGTATTGAAAATAAGGCCACAAGAGGCAATGTGGGGAACACAATCACCATGTGGAAGAAGGTGATGTAGTTATTTGAGACCAAAATGGAAGTTATTGAGTTAAATACTGAAGACATTTACGAATAAGAAAACCAACTTAACTCATCAATCTCCTGACACTATCCCCGGTGTCAAACCTGGTGGGTGCAGCATCATGCTGTGGGCCTGCTGTTCTTCATCTGGCCGAGGGAAGAGTGTCTGAGTTTACGAGAAGATGAATAGAGCAAAACACAGGACAAGTTGTTGGAGGGTGCAAGACTGGATGTTATGAAGTGGATAAAGAGTAAGAGGGGATCCACATCTTTGCTGTTACAGAGTGGATGTTATGCACTGTGACTGAGTGGCCCATGCTTCACAGCAAGATGGATATGAGATATGTTCCGTATCGTCCTTTCTGTGTGGAGTTTCCATACTTTCTTTGTGGAGTTTGCAGGATTTACTCTGGGCGCGCCGGTTTGCCCCATCATCCAATTGAGCTACGACGTTTGGCCTCTCCTAATCCAGTTGCTTAAATCAGGAAACAAAAACGACCATTGTATGAGCCAGTGGACTTTAAAGACGCCACAAATGCTAATGCTATTTGAATCCAAAAAGAAGATGTAATGTTGAAGAAAAGGCAAAGGTAGAAGGCTGCGTACATATCCGAATATATCAACCATTGCAAAACAGTGCCCGTGATCAGCAGGACTGGGTTTTGTAGTTCAAAAACAGAAATCTCACAGACTCATTGAGCATTAAGCCAAAATAACTAATGTGATAAAAATATGGGCGAGAACATATATTTTTTTAACTTCTGTTTTCTACTGTACCCTATGCATGCTTGGTTCTTTGCCCATGCAAAGAAACAGGGGTTAGGGTTCCCCTGTCTTCAGACAGACCAACTTTGTTTCTTGTTCAAACTTTCCAAATCCCACGGGAACACTTCTGCATGATGTATGTATTTCCTGTTTACACATGGGCCACCTTATCCAATGAATGGTATACTCTGAGCTGCCCCCAAGAATGCGTGGTACTCTGTAATAGTTCATATTTAAATGCTAATGTTAATCATGACACACTGGAGCCATTTCCTGAGCTGACAGGCACTGCTAAAATGCCATGGACATCTTTCTAAATGATGTTTTGCATTCGGTCACAGCTACACAATCACTGTCTCTTATTCAATGTTGTCGAACTGTACAAGTAAAAGGCAAAAGCTGTAGGTAACCGAGGGCAGGGGTTCCCAACCTTTTGCTGCATAAAAACACTAGAATTTGCAATTAGCATAATTTGACGCATTAAAACATGTTACATTAACTGTAATGTTGATTGTTGGAGTCATTTATTGTGTTACCTGACTGAGTTTCCCACAAAATATAGTAATTTTACTAAAAACAACATTATTATTGCTGCCATCAGGAAGGAGATACAGAACCTCGCTGGCCCGAAAAAACATTTACAAGAGATTGTTTGTCCCATCTGCAGTCACTGCTCTAAACAACCGGTAGCACTGCATAAATTATTAACTGTTTGCTAAATGTATTTTAAGTATGTTTTATGAATTATTTTTAATTGTGCCGTGTTGAAAGACAAATCTCTGCTCAATTTGAACAGACAATAAAGATCTATTCCATCTATTCTATTCTATTAAATTATTATACATTTCTATTAAAAAAATATAATCTCAGGACCCTCAGTTAAAGTTCCACGACCCTCACTTTGGGAACCACTTCAATGGAGGACACATTTCCCCCCTCCACACTATATTATTAGCAATCTGTCAGGAGTTTTGTTGATATTCTCAAATCCAATAATGAGGTTACTTCCTGGGAGGATGGGGAGTGTGTACTGTGGAGGCTATTTCTGACACTGCAGGCCTCTGAAGGTCAAAGGTTTGATTATGAATTGTACAAATTGCCATTTTGACCATCACAAATCTGTAAGTTGTGTAAGTTATATTTCTATGGTTTATTGTTGCGCTGCTTGTCTAAATTGATGCAGGGTTCAACATTTGTTATGCTTGGATGGACTGTCGGTTTTTGTTTTGATGATGCTCTTATCTGATTGAAGGATGGATTAGTTATATTGGAGAATTTTGCCTTCCAAATGAAAGGCAAATTCAATTTATGACAATACAGGGACAGGTGGGTGTATTTTTGAACATGCAAAATAAGTTATAAGACAATAATTTAATTGTGTTTACGATGAAGCAGTGAGAGAACAGCATGTTTGTTTGCATTCTGCATTGTCCACAGCGACAGTGGAGGGGACCAAGTGAAAAAACCCTTGGGGCCAAGTCAAACTAATGATGGCAGCTAAAGGTAATTGGATCGACTTAAGTCTCCTCAGGCACAGTATGAGAAAAGCCCAATCAATGCCAGCGCTAGAGAGATGGGCTGCTGAACTTTCACATCCAATTAGATTTGGCTGTGTACCAATGACAATGCAAAGAAACCATTGTTTTGATCAAACCCATACAATCTCTTTCTCAGACAAATTAAAAAAGAGGTTCATAAACAAGCTGACATTAGGGAGTGTGGTGCTGCCCCCTAAGTTCTTCCAGTTACCTTTTCTATAATATAACACAAACATCTCTTTTAATTTGAAAAACGTGAAATAATGCTGCCATGTCAGGAATCCCGTGAAACAATATTTTTAGGCATTTAAAATGTTCTAATACTGCCATCTTGTGGCACTTCTTTACGACACACTTCGTTTCTACCCTTTTTACAACACTTCAATTCATTTATTTTTTATTTCGGACTTTACAAAGTAAATTTACAACACAGGATTGTTCAGCTATTTTCTGCCGTGCTTGTTTTATGTTCAATGTATCATCAAATAATAACACAAATAAAATGTGAGTGAACTTTGAAGTTAAAGAGAACCGAATAAACACTGCCTTGTTATTTGCACTTTTAGAACAGGAGGCCTTTGATGTGGAACGTATGGCTCTTAAGGCCCTTCACTTTATTGTACCTGAGGTGAAGGGCCACAAACGCTTTGGCGTCTCCCTACCTCCCTTTAAACATGAGAATGGAATTGGATAATGTTTTGTGTGTCTGAAATGTAATCAATATAATACACCCATGGTATATGAATCCACTCACAAAACTATATCATCATGTGTCATCTCTTAGTCCCTCCTCCAATTTGCCCATCCAAGTTTGTCATAGTTTTGTTATTTCCCAGACTGCCACGTTGAAGAGAGACAGTGCTAAATATAGAAACATAGAAACATAGCGGAATAGTCAAAGGTTACTACTGTCAAAAGGGCATAGATAACAACTGGAACTATCTCAGCACTTTCCTTGCACCTGAACAAAATAAAGTCAGAGAGAAAATAACTTCTCTATTATCTTTTTCTTGGGGATGAGGAGACATGAGGTGGAAGGGACCCAAAAGGGGCTGTCCCAGGGGCGGGGAGTATGGAAATGGCCCCTGTAGGAAGTGAGCACAGTCTGGTGGAATGTAGTTGCCATTATTGTGAAGCTGGAACTGGCTAACAAGCTAACTTGCTATGTGGAGCTGGGATACATAGTGATGAAAATATGCCTCATTTCACAGTGGTTCCAGTGAAGGACAGGGGTCAGAGCAGCTATGACAGCCTGGAGGGGGTCAACTGGGTGGATTACAGAGACACTGGACAAGACCCCACTGATAATCAAGACACTATCAGCTCTGATGGTGAGTCAAAATGTTTTCTTCTCTTCCCAATACACCCCATCACATAGACACATAGGGTGTAGAAGATATGAGCAATGTTATGAATTACACTTAACTTAGTCCAAACAACATCTTCCACATGTCTGCATTCTAACAACATACCAAACTAATCTGTTTTTGTCTGAATTAAATCTCAATGCAAGAAAGAAACAACATGTGTGTAACCTAGTAACAAAACACAATGGAAGGCGTGAGAATCTCCCTCTGAAAGAACCAGAAAGGGGGTGGGGTTGTGGTGGGGGCAGAAAGTGTCACACCACCCTTGAGTTCATCTCTGCACAAAAGATAGAAAGCATAGAAGGGGGGGATTTGCTCTCACACATCTATTGGAGGGACAGGATTAGCAGAACTCACACATGTGCCAGTGCCTGAGCATGTCTCATTAATTACTCTTAAATGTAGAATTGTAAGTGAACCGTACAAGGCAAGACAAAACTATAGACATGCTCCTGGTTTATGTGGGCTGAGGCGAGCACACGGGTGGGGCACTGGTTTGAGGCACCCAAAGAGGGCCACATATGCAATGAAAAAGCCAAAAACAGTCCTCTCCCCAGTGTTTAATGTCATTCTAGCCCTGGATTGAGGCCAATATACAAGCCACTCCAGGCAGCTTGGCTTACAACAACATCAGTTTTATAGTACTGTAAACAAGCTGTTAGATTAGGGAGAATGAAGAGCAACTACAGCAATTTTATAGTATCTTATTTTGTACTTTGCCCTTTAAGTTTTGGGTGATCACGTTGGAAAGATAGCATGGCCTGAAATAACCTGAAAGGTCTGAGAAGTTACTGCACGGTTGGTGCTGTCAAAGTCCATTCTAAATCATTCAAAGTGAGATATACGTTTTGAAGAATGCTGCATGAAGAAAACACATGTGGAAGACACCGAGGCTGCTCCCAACATGTTTTTAGCATCTGCTTTTGAGTGTTCATATTTAGTACCGTATATGGACTGGGACGTTTTGACTAATAGTTCATGGTGGAAAGGAAGGGAGTGGAACTGTGTCATGCTGGACAGTGTAACGTCATTGCACGGCTTGGGGAATATGACAGTGCTCAGTCTGTTTCAGAGCAGGCTCCAAGTCTCCATGTCCAGTCTGCACAGTGGGGTCATTGTGGCTGGTGCAACTAGCCTGAAATAACTTTGGGAATGCTTTTCTTTTTTTGTCCTATGTTGTTTTTTCCGGCCCAAAGTTGTGGAATGTTGTATTTTTTAATTATTGCAATTCATGGTCCTCAATGACTCTTCAAATATGATGTTTAACACTCTATCCAATGCCATCCCTTGTCTTACCTCACCTCCCCTCATCCCATTCTACAGGACAGTGCACTTGTTAAGGTTAAGGTATAGTGCATGTTTTGGGTGATGGTGTTTTGGCCCCAGTGCTCAGAGGAAACCAGGTGTCAAACATTCACACAGAAAGCCCTGGACGATAGATTAGTCAAACCTGCAACCCTTTTGCCACAAGGGATGGTGGCTACAGTACCAACTCATCCACAGTGCCGTGTAATTGCCCTTCTTGAAACTGTTCCTGAGTTTTGAGCATTAGTACGCTCATCAAACCTAATATGTCTTAGCACAGCAGGGTCACATTCCAAACTTCAGTTCAGCCATGGGCCAATTGATGTTGCTTGCAATGAAGAAGGCTGGAGCAGTGTGAAGAATACGTAATGAGGTGAAATTGCTTTGTTTTCCCTGCATGGCGCACTTATCTGGATAATAATACATGCACAGGATATCTGTGCTGTTGTCAAGTCGACACCTTGTTGACAAAAAAATCCCCTCAAAGTCCACAAGGCCAAAACTGAGCTAAGCTGTGCTGTGTTAAGTCTTCATTAAAGAGGAAATTTAGCAAAGAGGCTTTTAACTGCCTAAGAGGCTAACGATCTGTGGTATTGCTTTCTCTGATCGGCTTTTTAACTTAATATAAATGGCATCACATTGTTGATATTGAATCGAAACTAATGTTTATGAAATTGCTATCACCAGAAATATCCTGAGGGTTACAATATCTTAGTTACTTTGCAGGTGTGACTCCAGCTCCTCCTGTGGTTGGAAAATCCTACAGTATATTAACAATAAGGAGACAGCCCTTTTCTCAACTCACCATTTCATCGATAGAAATGAAGCCACATTTACAAACAAAGACAAAATGGTGCCATAAATCTAGCTGAGGCTGTGAGTGTTCAGTTGGCGGAGGCATGTTTCTGCCTGTCAGCGGTGCAGTGTGTTGTGCACTCAGCATGACTTTTGTGTGCCTTCATAACTGGGCTTTTAATCTTTTTCATTTGACATTTATCATGAAGTTATTAATAATAGCCACCCGTTGTGCTCCCCCACAGCAAAGTTTCAGTTGGCAACCACTACAAGTGACTTACATTTACAGTATATATGAGTATTATGTTTTGAATAGGATCCCACAGTCTCACTTTTTAGAGTGGTTTAAAGTGAGAAAAAATATAATCTTCATGATTTTGAAATGAGTTACACATTTTAACAGTACAACTGGTCTACTGGCATTTTCAACAATATATCAATAGATGGCAGTGTAATTCCTCCAAATACTAAATTCTTATTATTTGCGCACAAAAACACATGACGAAAACAAATGCCTCCACACCAGTAATCACATTAAAATTATAAATTAGCAAAACATACATGCTGCAATTATTTAAGTTCTTTGCATAGAAATATATCTAATATATTGAATTTGGGAACATTTCTGTGTCACTCGAGTATATTTTGAATATTCGTCAAAGTACAAAGAGGCAACTTGACAACTTATTAAGCATAATTATTATAATAGTATGCAATATTTTATCTTTTTCATAATTTGAAGGGGCAGCTCAGTTGGTAGAGCATTGGCCTTTGGGCCTGAAGGTCGTGGGTTCGAGCCCACCACGAGACCTACCTCACAACTCCCACTGATTACTGCTGTCGTTGTGTCCTTAACCCCACTTTGCCTGAAGCCCCCGCTGAAAGATCATGGCTCCTGTGGACTCACCACCTGCAGGAGGATCAGTGAGGGGCTGGTGCTCTGTGTACTGGGTGCAGCTCTGACTGCCACCCCCCTGACCCAGAAATGGATTAAGGGGAAGAAAATGTATGGATGGATGAAATTTTACATAGACTGTCAAATAGTGCACAACTAAGATAAGACTCAACTTATTAACAAGTTCTTGAAAGGTGTGGGAAAGCTTCTGTTTAAAATGTCACTGTCATTACCATTCTGCACAAAATTAAACTTTTGGATCATACAGGATTTTGAGACTGGCATCGCAACCGCAACGTTGGTCAGAAACAACTGAATTAGATATTTTGCCAAAATCGTGCAGCTCTAATGTATAATTTATATTTGCTTGTTCATGAATTTATTTGTAATGAATGTTTAAAGCAGAACATAAACGCACATAAAACACACACACACACACACACACAAAGCCACTTCAACTCCCTTGTGCTTGTGCATGTACTGTATCTCTGCCCTGGCACCTGCCCCAGCCTCTGTGCGCCCCATGCGGTCAGTCCTGTGGTGTCGCCCTGAGTGACCCGCTTCCTACATCGGCTCATTGACAAGTCCCTCCGCCACACCACGCTCTACACTACACTGACCACACACAACTCTGACTACACACACCACACTGACCACACCGCATGGACACAGCTATGCTCCGCTCCAGCCCCAGTGAACCGGAGCACGTAGGTGAGTCTGAACAAGCACTCAACAATAATAAGAATAATGTGATGAATAATATGAGGTCTTGTTTTACGCAACTCATTTCTTCCAGCGCAGTGGGCATCTCTGCTGGAAACCTTCTTTAATTGGATATCTTATTATTAGGAATCAGATGAACTGGCTGAACCTAGTATGTGCTTTTATGTTTAGTTTTCTCCTAAATGATTGACTATTGATACAAAATACAATCATCTTTATGATTCAAATATACATTACCACAATATATTTAGTATGTTCTCTAACACTTACATCATGAGTTCATTGTATGCATATTTTGTCTGTCTCTGACCAAACCCCTGGCTCGATTTGGACCAAACAGAGACTTCTAAGCCCTACTGCGCTTTGTTTGTTTTTTCACCTGAAATTTTCAGGTGAATTTTTATTTTTATTCATTCATGCAGATCTATGTAGCATTGTATCCCACAGATTATATTCCTTGGGACAATAATAAGTTTATCTTATTTTTCTTCAGATCCCATTCAATGTAATAATAAGATACTATATTGTGTGTGATTGCAGGACATGGAAACCAAAAAGAAGACAGCCCTTTTCTCAATAACTCAGACACTGGAGGGAAAAAGAATGACTACTATGACAGGAATCTGGCCCTGTTTGAGGTTTACATTATATATAATGATACAGCTTATATGTCAAAGACTTACACTTGAACTAACTTCATGTTGATCTTTGTGTGGTGGTGTAGGAGGAGCTGGACAGTCGGCCCAAAGTCTCTGCATTGCTCAGCCGTCTGGTTAACTACACAAACGTGACCCAAGGAGCCAAAGAACATGAAGAGGAGGAGATCTCGGAGGCGTCACGCTGCCACACACCCAAGGTCACTGTACACTGGGTTTATTGAGGCCCTACAATCTACTGCCATATTTTCTATTAAGACCTGTGGATTGATTTCCTTGGAGTACACGCTGAAGTTGTGGCCATGTAAGATCTAGGCTGTACTCGGAAGCTGCTTTATTGAATGACCTTTTAAAAGTACAACAGTCAATACGAGGGATCAATGGTGAATTCAGGCCTCCTCTTTTTCAGAGTCCTAACATGGGCACGCTGATGGGGGTCTACCTGCCATGCCTACAAAACATATTTGGGGTCATTCTGTTTCTTCGATTGACGTGGATAGTTGGGATGGCGGGCATCATGCAGTCTCTGCTGATCGTCCTGATGTGCTGCACATGTGTTAGTATACACAAACACAAACACTGATGAGCAATGATACTGTGACAACACAAACACACATGCTATGTTTTCCTCATCAATGTATTTGTGATAAAATTATCCTATTGATTTACTTTGTTACTAGAGCAGCAGCAGATAGGTCATTAAAAAAACAAAACTACATACAGTTTGTGTAAGCCCTCAGTCAAACTACATACACTTTCTAAATCGTTCAGTCTTATAATTCGGAGGATAATGGAAATCCTCATCCTTATTAACCACCAATAATGATACAACATTTAATTTGGTTATTTTATGGTTGACATTATGATGTCTGGATATGATGATTGCATAAATGTTACAGAATGTTATGTATGTGGTAATTCGTAGACACAGAACCAACAAATGAAACGTTTTTATTTTGCAGACAATGCTTACTGCCATATCAATGAGTGCCATTGCTACCAACGGAGTTGTTCCAGGTAAGGTCTTCATATGTGCTTTGAGGTTTGTCCACAAGGTGGCAGCACAGTATAAGTGATAGTTGCAAAGGAGTAACATCCTCATTGAAGGAGCATAACTGTATGTTTTGTGTTTTAGCTGGTGGATCATATTTCATGATTTCCCGTTCCCTGGGCCCAGAGTTTGGAGGAGCAGTAGGCCTGTGTTTCTACTTGGGCACTACTTTTGCTTCTGCCATGTATATTCTTGGAGCTATTGAAATCTTTTTGGTCAGTTCAAAGCATTTTTGTTTTGTCAAAATGTGCAAATTATTTGGGTCTAATTATTTTTTTTTTTTTCATTTAGAAATATCTTGTTCCACAAGCAGCTATCTTTCATGCGGTTGACCACCACGGTACTGACAGTGCCAGCCTCAACAACATGAGAGTGTACGGATCCATTTGCCTGAGCCTGATGGCTGTGGTTGTTTTTGTGGGCGTCAAATACGTCAACAAGTTGGCCTCCCTTTTCCTAGCCTGTGTTATTATCTCAATTGTGTCGATTTACGCTGGAGCAATCAAATCTATAAGCCACCCTCCAGAATTTCCGTAAGTCAGAAGAGGAAGCCATCATTACAAGCCATTGTTCTAAACCGGAAGTTAATTTAATATGGTTTTGGATGAATTTAGCATGCTACTATAGATTCTGTTTTTTTCTCTCTGCTCTTCCTTAGAATTTGCATGTTAGGAAACCGGACTTTGGTGAGCAACAAATATGATGTGTGTGCCAAGACTGTAATGCAAGGGAATATAACAGTGCCCAGCCTGTTATGGGAGAACTTCTGTATATCTAGCAATCTGAGCAACAGCCAGTGTGATGAGTACTTCCTTCAAAACAATGTGACTCAGATTCAGGGCATTCCAGGTCTGAGCAGTGGGATTGTCAGCGGTAGGTCAAAGAAAACACCCGGTTTTGGGTTCCTCTCCTTTGTTTATTGGCCTATCACATGTACATATGTGTTATTGTTTTGTTCATCATAGACAATATGTGGAGCACCTACATGTACAAAGGGCAGATCCTCGAAAAGGCTGGGCTGCCTTCAGATGATGCTCATGGGGGTCTTGAGAAAGTCCCTATGTATTTAACAGCTGATATCGCAACATCATTCACTCTACTAGTGGGGATATTCTTCCCCTCTGCCACTGGTACGCAACTGGTATTTATGATCATGACGTGTATGCTATCTTGTTCAACTTTTTATTTTATTTCATATTTTATTTTACTGTTGATAGGAATCATGGCAGGCTCCAACAGATCTGGTGACCTAAAAGACGCTCAGAAGTCCATCCCCGTAGGAACGATATTAGCCATTGCCACCACTTCCCTTGTCTGTATCCTTCCTGTGCACACATTAACTCTTGATAGCTATAACATTTGTATGCTGTTTTTTTTAAATCCTGGTTTTAAGATATAAGCTCTGTGGTTCTCTTTGGAGGGTGCATTGAAGGAGTTGTTTTGCGAGACAAGTGAGACACAATTATAACTCATACACCACACAGCTGCTGTTGACAACACTGCAGAGTACACGCTGTTTGTGATTTCAGATTTGGAGATGCAGTGAATAATAACTTGGTGGTGGGGACTCTATCTTGGCCGTCGCCCTGGGTTATTGTGATTGGCTCTTTCTTCTCCACGGTTGGGGCTGGTCTGCAGTCCCTCACTGGAGCTCCTCGGCTGCTGCAGGCCATTGCCAAAGACAACATTATCCCTTTCCTCAGGGTGAGGCAGACTTAAACAGACTTAGACAGAATTAAAGTCTATAAAAGTATAATAGTTTCGGGCAGAATTGAAAAAAAATAAAAGTAAATAGTATATAGACTGTTGTTTTGTATGGAATATATGCATGAGATGTGTATTTATCTATTTATTTGGGCGTCACAATTGTATGAAATATGAAAAGTTGTATACTTCATCTTGCCTGTGGAAGTTGAGATCTACTACATCAGTATACTTTTATACCACAATTACACAAGTCTTTGCCAGATGTGATAATAATGCAGCCAAAAAAGCAATTACACTGAGCACAAGGGACTTTGGTTTGTCCCATGTAGGTATTTGGCCATGGAAAGGCAAATGGTGAACCCACATGGGCCCTGCTGCTTACGGGACTGATCGCTGAGTTGGGGATACTTATCGCTTCGCTGGATATGGTAGCTCCTATTCTTTCAATGTGAGTTAACATTTGTGAATGCAAATGCCACTCTGTGTATGCAAAAACTTGTTCCATGCCTCCACGTCATAGTTAAAACAAAATGTTTTACAGGTTTTTTTTAATGTGCTATTTGTTTGTAAACCTGGCATGTGCAGTGCAGACTTTATTGCGTACACCAAATTGGAGGCCAAGATTTAAGTACTATCACTGGTGAGGGATATCTTGATCTCATAATTCACACTGTGATAAAACATGGAAACATTCAGTGTTTTTCCCAAACACAGGACATTATCATTTCTTGGAATGAGCATGTGCCTGGCTCTCATGTTCATCTCATCTTGGTACTACGCCATTGTGGCTATGGGTATTGCTGGGATGATCTACAAGTACATTGAATACCAGGGGTAGGTTTTTGCATTTCTTCTGGACTTAAACAGTCATTATTCCATGTTGTTTATACTGTATGCGTAAACCAGGGCTGAAAAAGAGTGGGGTGATGGCATTAGAGGACTTTCTCTTAGTGCGGCACGTTATGCCTTGTTAAGATTGGAGGTTGGACCACCCCATACCAAGAACTGGAGGTACTGATATTTACAGAACAAAGTAAAACATGCTTTTATTTGTAAATGACGTTTGGCTAATTATTATAGTATTTTACTTTAAACATAATTCATTGAATTAATGCATTTTATTTTTAATGGCCCTTTAGTTTTCCCAATTTTTTCTGAAATTCAAAATGTCTATTTTGACCCGCAGACCCCAGCTCCTGGTCCTGTTGAAGTTGGACGAAGACCTACATGTGAAGTATCCCAGGATGCTCACTTTTGCTTCCCAGTTGAAAGCGGGAAAAGGTCTCACTATTGTGGGAACAGTCATTCAAGGACACTTTCTCGATAGCTTTGGTGAACTGCAAGCTGCTGAACAGGTACCTGGATGAGATTTCCTTATGTTACTAATCTCCCATTTTCCTTTGGGAATAATAAGAAACAAGACATTCTATCTATATAGCCCATTTCATACAAGACTGCAACACAATGCGCTTCACAAAGACATAGTAACAAAACAAATCACTTAGAAACAATGAAGAGAACAGACCAGATGACAGAGGGGTCGGGTCAATACTGTTTGGACCGGTGTTGTTTGTGTGTTTGTGTTTGTGTGTGTGCATGTGTTTTGTGTGCCTCATACCCCATGGTACAGTATAATATTTGTATTCTGTATGTTGATTAGCTGCATTGTATTCTGTGTATTATGGTGTTGAATGGTGAGAGGAGGCTGTAATAAAATAAGTGTCCGCTTCATCCAACCCCTTTTCAAACCCGTATTAGTGTAGAGATATGTGAAATTGTGTTCTGCAGGTTTGAAAGAAATCAAACTAAGCTAACAAACTAAATACTTAGCAGATGTTTTACTATTTCTTTCCTACCAGGCAGTAAAAAACATGATGGAGATAGAACGTGTCAAGGGTTTCTGTCAGGCTGTGGTGGCCAATAAGGTGCGAGAAGGCATTGTCCACCTCATGCAGTCGTGTGGTCTTGGGGGAATGAAGCACAACACTGTGGTGATGGGCTGGCCCTACGGATGGAGACAGAGTGAGGACCCACGTGCTTGGAAAACCTTCATCAGTATGTTTTTTTTCCTGTTTGTTTTCTACTTGCGATGCCGTTTCATGCACGTTCAGGCTCTAAAATACAGTGTGTATTTAATTTGTTCTTGTCAGACACTGTGCGCTGTGTTACTGCCGCTCATTTGGCTCTGATGGTGCCGAAAAACGTGTCTTTTTACCCCAGCAACCACGAGCGCTTTATGGACGGTAACATTGACGTGTGGTGGATCGTCCATGATGGAGGAATGCTCATGTTATTACCGTTCTTACTGAAACAACATAAGGTAGTAATGATCTCCAATACAATGTCTGTATATAAGTCTGTGTAAATATGTATTGAGTTACTTCTCTTTAATGCTAGGTTTGGAGGAAATGCAAAATGCGCATTTTCACGGTAGCTCAAATGGATGACAACAGCATCCAGATGAAGAAGGATCTGGCCACTTTCCTTTACCAGTTAAGAATAGAGGCGGAGGTGGAAGTTGTGGAAATGGTAAGTAAATGATAAATAAATGCAACAACAAAACCCATATTCCAAAGCTGGGGTACTTGACTTTTTATTTTTTGAAAAATAGAGAAAGAGTTGTGTAAAACATGTTGTGAACTAATCAGACTATCTGCCATCAACAGGCCATCTTCAACTTCAACTAGAAAACATGTTATCTTTTTGAATTCTTGTAAGAAAGAGCCATATGACACTGGCTCAATGTTGAGACTTTGGGCTGAAAGCTGATTGGCTGAGCAAGTGGTCCCCTCTTTTTTCACTTTTTCTGTCTAGAAAGCTGGTCTAAAGATGTGACAGGGGCCAACAAAAATGCATGTATGTAAAAACTATGGTAGAACTTAACTGTTTTGAGAAAGGGACCCGTTGCATAGATTTACTGTAATTACATAGTTCATTAGTTAAAGTGCCCATACTTTCACGCAAAATCCAGATCCCGTCACACCTCTGAAGCTGTGCAGGGCAGGTCCTGGTTAATACTATGATGGGAGACCTCTTGGAACACCAGGTGCCACAGTGGAGCGGCTACGGCTGTAAAGTGCTAAACTTGTGTTGTGTCCTTTGGCAAGACACATCCCCACATTGCCTAGAATGAGTCTGGTGTGTGTGAATGGCTGGTGGTAGTCAGAGGGGCTGATGGCACATAATGGTTGCCTCGTTTATGTCAGTGTGCCTCAGGGCAGCTGTGGCTTCAGTAGTAGTTTACCACCACTGTGTATGGCGTGAAAGAATAATGACACGTGACGTCCTGAAAAGGGCTGCTTTATAAAACCAAAGTATTTTTATTGTTATTATTATTGTTGTTATTATTATTATTATGGTTTAATTGTTAGGTACCAGCACCCCAGCTTTAAATGTGTCATAACCCTTTCTAGCATGACAGCGACATCTCGGCGTACACATATGAGCGGACACTGATGATGGAGCAGCGGTCACAGATGCTGAGGCAAATGCGGCTCTCCACGGCCGAACGGCAAAGAGAAGTATGCACGATTTTCTGCTTGGTCTTTTACATATTTTCCCTGTACTTATTCTGCCACTTATGCACTGTTGCTTTTCCCCCCAGGCCCAGCTAGTGAAGGACAGGCACTCGCTGGTGCGCATGGGCAGCCTGTACTCGGATGAAGAGGAGGAAGTGTTTGAGGCCCCACCAGAGAAAGTTCACATGACATGGACGAAGGAGAAAGTGGAAGCAGAGAGGAGAAACAGGAATAATGCACCCGAGAACTTCAGAGAACTCATCAGCCTTAAACCGTGAGACATATTTTAACAAGCATAATACTGTATGATTTTCATGCAATTTGAATGAATTGTGTTATCTTGCAGAGATCAGTCCAATGTGCGGAGAATGCACACAGCTGTGAAGTTGAATGAGGTCATAGTCAACAGATCACATGATGCACGATTAGTCCTCCTGAACATGCCGGGACCCCCCAGGAACAGTGACGGGGATGAAAACTGTATCCTTTGGCTTGTTTGAATTTGGTGTTAAAGTCAGAGGGGGCAAAAGTACCACTCTTTAGTTCTTTACATTTCGAGTGCCCAACTTTTTTTGGTGTCACAAATGCTCACTGAGAGTTGATTGGTTTTTTAACTATTTCACCCTCACTCAACCAAACAGTTGTAGAACACATGCATGTAAAAACTAGTGATAGATAGATTTTGTGGTTGAGACCACAGCTTGCTCTCAATGTTATTAGTCAAAATTTTATCTGAGAGCTGATTGGCTGGGTGAGGGTTGGCACTTTTTCCACTGAAAAAGCTGATCTACAGATGTGACAGAGGCCAAAAAGACATGTGGAAACTATAGAAGCAAACTGTATCGAGTGCTAGGAAGTAGTTACAAGGACATTATTACAAAGTTGATGTTTTATTAAGTACAAAGTTAGGTACTCCATCTTTAATGGCAAATAATCTCTTGCTAGGGATTGATTATTTTTGTATTGAACTATACAAATTTGACCATGCTGGGAATGCTTTTTTGACTCAGAGCTGAGTCAGTCTTAACAAGGAATTGGTTGAATTATAGTTCAACCAGCAGTTGTCTTTCAACAAGAACCTAAGCAGAAAAGGGCTGTAATCATTGTTCACACATTCTAAATAAGTATTTTATTTATTCAATTCACAATCTTTTTTTTTTTTCCAAACGAACATCCTTTTATTTTTTGTTTTGGTAAATGTATAAACAAATCCCACATTGACCTTCAGTCCCCAATCAACTTGTCAGTTTATCAAATACATATTTGGCCAAATAATCAAATATCAAAATGGTCTTGTTATGTGAGGTTCATAGAGGTCTGACATTCCTTAAGCTTGTCTTCAGATATGGAGTTTTTGGAGGTTCTCACCGAGGGACTGGAGAGAGTATTACTGGTCAGAGGAGGGGGCCGCGAGGTCATCACTATCTACTCCTGACCACTTCCTTTGAGAAAGGACTGTATTCTGCCAACGACAAAATACTATTGTAGGCAACAATAGACTTTGGGAAAGATATTTTTGTAGGACTTGAAACTGCAGTATTCATATTGTGTATTGGTGTTTATAAAATCTGTCTGTGTGTGTAACTGACTTTGAAAGTATTATGTGGTTCTATGTTATAGAACTGGCACCATTTCCATCATCTTTTGCTTGTAGTGACACAGGCATGATTTTATTTTGATTCCGACGGCACACTTTTTATTAATTTATTTATTTTTATATAAACTGTCCCTGGAATTTACAAAGTGTTTTTTGTAAATATTAAGAATAATTCATGGGTTTATAGTCTTGACTAGGCCTTCCAAATGGATGTTGCGAATAGAATCTAATCATTATGTTTTATTAAACATATTTGTCTACATAAGATACAGATTGTTTTGTTGATTGTGTTTAGTTTCATGGAACAATCCATGGATTACTGCCATTGACTATACAAATACACACACACATTCACATGTGAGACTATTTCATGTAGTCATTACAGGAAATTGAGAGTAGAAGGCAGTAGGAGTGCACATGAAATGAGCAGAGCTGTGGCTCTGTGTAGGGCAGAAGAAGAGTGTGACACTCGGTCAGAGGGAAAGCCGGGGCTGGGGGGTCTGAGCACCAGCCTGCAGGGGTTCTGAACTTCCTCCATGCTGATCTGTGCCTCACTGGGAGGCTCCAGTACCAACTCGTCACGTATCTGTAAAGGTATAATAGTTCATGTCTGAGTTTTACTCAAGGATGATCTTCATGATAAAAGCATGGTGCACCATCGCACCTTTTCCACTGCATCAAAAACTCTCAGAAAGTTTCGTCGAAGAACATCTGCCATTTCCTGCTCCGTCCAGTTCCGTTGCAGTAATTCCTGGATCAGCGCGGGATATTTAGAAACATCATCCAATCCCTCAGGGAAGCTATTACAAAAACATGCATAGGGTCATTAAAAGTACATATTTTCATCTTATAAACACGGGTCATACCTTACAGCACCCTCAAAATCACTTCCAATTCCTATTGACTCTGCACCAATAACTTTCTTAATATGATCAAAATGATCTACAAACATTTGAAATACAAATTAAAGAGCAATCAATTTTTTTTCTCCAAAAAAATATGAAAAAAATGATGATCTAAAAATCTTTCTCACCAGCCACAAGAGAAATGTTTGCTTCATTCTTACAGGAAATGAAATTAGAATGAAGATTGACCATGATCAAACCCTGGTTCTTTTTCTGAAACACAATCCATTAAAGGTTTATTAGTGGAGATTTTGTGGGCATGCAACATGTGTATGCCTGTCAACACATTAGAAAATCGGACGATTGTGAAAAGTACAATACATGTCTGACTTATAAAGGAGGGATCATATATATTATTATTGCAATAAACTAAAAAGAAAATTAATCAATTTAATTACTACTACTAATGTAAAGCTTTCTATTATATATTTTGCCACTTCGAATTCTTACCAAGTGTCTCAACAGCCAGTCCGGTACATTGCGGTCATTCTCACATACAGCATATGCAGATGAGTGGCTGAAGATGACAGGTGCCTTTGACAGATGTAAGACTGCTGTAGCTGTTGCCCATGAGCTGTGAGAGAGGTCTATGATCATGCCCAGTCGGTTCATCTCCTTCACCACTGCCTTATACCAGAAGTACCATACATTCAGTTTACCACAGGGTATGGAGGAAACATGTCAAAGATTTGGCACAAATTAACTTACCTTTCCAAATGATGTCAAACTATTATTCTGTCTTTGATAAAACCTGTAAATCTTTGAGGAGGATTCTGCCCTGTAGAAAAGAATTTATATTTTCATAATGAATATGCAAATATGTACATTTACTGGCAAAGCAGAAACATGTTTTAAGGTTTTTGCCAGTCTGACTGTTATGCCCCTGGCAACTCTAACTTATTTGATAAGATGACATGAGAATAATACTTTCATGAATTCTATTTTCATCCATTTTTCCTTATAACTTAGAAAGATATATTACCATGGTGTGTTGCATGTGTGTGTCAGAGCCATGGAGCGAACTCCGAGCTGGTAGAACATGCGCAGGGCTGGCAGGCTGCTGTCGATGGAGTGACCCCCCTCCACACTCAGCATACAGGCGATCTTGTGCTTCAGGAAAGAGTCCCTAAGTTCTATGAAGATTGCATTAATAGTTTATGACAAACAAGTAATGTTGTTTATTGGCGTAACACATCTCAGTGGGTACCCTGGGTCGACGTGACCAGCTCAAAGTCTTTGTACATTGAGCACATGCGCCTGAGCACATCTATTTGCTCCAGGGTCAGCCTCACAGCATCCTTCTCCTGAGCCCCACACATCACATACACGGAAAACATCTTGAAAGAAATCCAAATCATGCCTTTCACATTTTAAAATGACAGAACGACCAACTTTATATCCATTGATATGTGTGATTTGTACCTGTGCTTGGACATGACCAGCCAGTAGACGATTGATGTCAGTGGCAATTGTGCTTACGTTATAGAGGTCAATTTGACTCATATGGTTATCATAGAGCTTTCTCAGCTGAAGAGCAAGATCATTGTGACTGACAACATAGACATAGCATTTGTATTCATCAGTAAGTGCATTTTTAAGAAATGTTTAGTGATGAAGCTCTTACCCATCAATAAGGGGATATTTGGACATAAGATCCCGCACTCTGTTTTCTTCTGAATACCCAGAAATCAAAGCACACAGAGAGTAGAGGAAGATGCACAGCAGCTGGGACATGGCTCCACCTCAGCGAGATGTTTAGCTTGAGGAAAACAATAAAGAAAAGAAACTCTTCCAGCGATTCCAACTTCTTCACTAATTAATATATAATATGGCTGTAATGTAAATAGTTGAGTCATATACATGTTACTTATCCACCTATTCTGACGTGCCGTTTCGCAGCCCCCAAAAAACAAACTCTTGATTTTGCCGTTCACTTACCCGCTGGCTGGTTGAAAATGGTTGCTGACTATTTCACTGAACACAGTTCGCAACAGTACGAACTTTCCAGCTCAGTGGCTCACGCATACAAATACACATGCACGCACAAACGCACGCACTCACATAAAAACAGGAGCGCGCGACTACTCTAGCAGCGAGTGCGCGCGTGCAACATAATACATCTATGGTGTGCAAGCAGACTTGTTTTCCGGCCACAACAAGATAGAACTTGTCAAAGCAGATTTTTCGAGATATTATTCTGAATTAATGATGTAAAATATCACAGATCACATTTTGCATGTATTCATCCAAAGTGATCTTTTTCATACAGTGTGTGACCAGCTAGCCGCTTGACCGCTCAGTGATGCCCTCTTCTGGTGAAATGTCTTATATTTCTGTAACCTTTCATTCGATTTATTATTACACACAATTAACATCATTATACACATAGGCAGAGATTTCAGAGTCTCTTTTGCATGGGAGGGCTGGCCCTTGGGGATGACGAGGGGACACCGGAGCACACGGAGGAAACACAGACACATGGAGAACATACAAACTTCACTCATAAATGTTCTGTGCTGTGCAGGAGTCGAACCTTCTATATCTGAGCAGCAAGAGCTCCAACTACAGAGCGCATGTTAGGTTTACATTGAGTGGACTGGCCTCTGAATTCACTTGTATTTTGCATTGTCCAAATAAAGGTGAATTCATTAATTCATTAAAACGTACGACGACACTGTGTCTTCAGTAAAAATCCATAATGTGAATCTATTGAAAGAAAAACAAAGTTAAATCCCACCAGAGTGGCATCAGGCACCCCTGTAAGATTGGATTGAAGTTGACTGCTTCTGTCAGAGCATTGAAGGAAATGTGACTGACGAAACATGTATCGTTCAATGGCAGGGCTGGACTGGCCATCGGGCGTACCGGGCAATGCCCGAAGGGCCGATGCCCATATTTGGGCCGGTCTGTTTGCCTCATACAAAAATGTTTTTTGTGAAAAGTGTAAATCCGTTGAGAAATGTTCGAGGGGGCGCGCGTGTCCGCGGGGCACCTGCTGTATGTACTCGAACGGGATTCCACCACCTCAGCGGCCGCAGTGTTCCCGCATCCAGCGGAACTGAGCTCACCGGGAACGGCTCACCGGGAGCCGCTCACAACACCACACGGTGAGCGCGTAGCCGCAACGTGACCATGTACCCAAGACCATAAACGCGCACAGGACCATGCGTGTCTTTGCGTAATTTGTGGACCCAATAAATACACCGCTGCAGGAAACAGTCCGAGTCTCCCCTCTCCTCTAGAAGTGCGACTAAATTAAAGCTCGGTTACCTAAATTCCCCATTGCATTAAAGTTCATGTTTGAGCCCAAAAGTAAAATGTTGTGAACAAATTAAATGTAGATGTAGAGCCAGCTAATGGCTGACAATAATGCATTTCAGACAATTTTGACCAATTCTCATCCCTGTAACAAACAATAGTGTTGTCTGTGTCCACCTCCCTCACTCTGAGACATGTTTATTACTCTCTTGTAATGTAGACTATTGCACTTTATCTTTTTGTTGAAACTGCAGACATCCTGATCCTCTACAGTATTTGCTTCCACATACTGTATACACCAGGGGTCGGCAACCTTTAGTGCCCCTAAAGTGGCTCCTGGAGCCTTTTCAAAAATGTCTGAAGATGGAGTAGGAGGGCTATATTTTATTCGTAGTCTGAATGTGGTTTCTGTGGGAGGAATTTTCTTAACGTATTTAAATGCTGTAAAAATGTGTATAAGTAATATTCAATTGAAACATTTCTGTCAACGTAGTGCGTCATATCCTGTGACACACCCCGTGCCAGGCGCCGCCGCTGTAAACAAACCCGCGTGTTCGCATCATAGACTGTAAAGCCTAGCGTACATCGACAGAGAAACTGGGGACAACTAGTTGCAAGGCGGCTTTTGGCAACTGAGAGGAGATGGTGGGAGATGATCAGTTGGCGAAATCGGTCGATGTGCGCGCACTTACAACTGGAGATGATCAGTCGGTCTCCAGTTCCAGTCAGTTGCCCGTGTTCTACTTTTCGGCAACTAGTTGTCCTCAGTTGCCCCGATGTGCGCGCTCCATGCGCCGCTCCAACAACGTGTGTGTATTGCGTGTATTGCGAGCCCGCAACAGTTTGTTGTCAGAAAACACACTGTAGTTGAGGCCAGTTGCTGTCGATGTACGCGCTGTTATTCAAGAGACTGGCCTGCGACTCAGAGTTGCCCGTTTTTGCCAGATTGTCGATGTGTGCGGGGCAGCAACTCAGAGGCGACGGATATAATCAGTTGCCAGTCCGATGTACGCTAGGCTTAAGAGCGCACGGATCCCAAAGATAAAAAGTGAAAGAGTCGATAATAAGACTGGACTAAGAACAAGACTGAACATTTGCTTTCAGTCAATGAGGAAGGACTGCTTCATGTTTGCGATGTAATAGGAAGTTTTTTTGCAACACGAGGAACTATGAAGCACTAAATACCGTTCACAGGGATTACGTGAAGGATTCTTTCATACAAAATCCTGAGCACCTTTTTCAGACTTCAAAAACCTCTGCAAAGACTGTGAAAGAAAAGGCCACTAAGGACATTCAGCTCCAGCAAACTTCAACCTGTGATGTGATCGATATGAGCAGACAGTGCAGGTATGTGACCTCTGAGCCAAAAAGCAGATTTATTTACTGTATTTCTGCAATTGCATGAAGGCAAAAACGTGGAAGTTAAAGTTAAAGCAGAGTTGTCACGTGGTGCGTCATTCTCTCCAGGACACGCTGCAGTGAAAACACACATTTGATAATCATGAGTGCTTTTTATGTGTTTGTAGCCTTTACTTTGTCATTTAGATATTAGGCTAATGTAGCTAATGTAGCTACATTGTGTTACCTTCATATACAGTAAGCACTATACAAGGCTGTTATTTTTTTGCGGCTCAAGACAGATGTTGTTTTTACTTTTTTTGTCAAATATGGCTCTTTGAACCTTTTGAGTTGCCGATCCCTGCTATTGACCCCTTGCATGTGACGTCCCGGCCACGCCCACTCTCCATGACAGACGGCAGAAGTCTAACTGGAGCCTACGGACACCTGCCCAAAACAACCTGTTTCAGCGCATTACAGCCAAAACTGTGACATTTTGCAGTGCGGTTGATTATACTAACAGGCAAGGACATAAGCTTTTTTATCTGATACCTGCTCGTCATGAAGACAGAAGACGACGATGGCCAGCGGCAATCAACCAAAAGGACTGGGACCCTGATCCAAGTACTCCCTAATATGCAGTGAACACTTTTTACAAGATAAAGCAATCACAAGTTTGTATTTATTTTATTTCCATTAATTTGGAGGACAATGACACACGTCAAACGTGTCTCTTACTACTGTCCTGTATGTGCGCTGCAACATTGACATTTTTATCTTTTAAGTCAATTGCGTGTTTCACTATTTTCCGTCAGTACGTATCATGTACTGAACTCGAGGGTTCATGGGAGTTCGCCCAACCTGTCCACATGTGCTTTTTGGATTTGGAGAAGGCGTTCGACCGTGTTCCCCGGGGTGTCTTTTGGGGGGTCCCCCGGGAGTACGGGGTCCGGGGTCCTCTGCTGAGGGCCGTCCGGTCCCTGTATGACCGGAGTCAGAGCTGTGTTCGCATTGCCGGCAGTAAGTCAGACCTGTTCCCGGTGCATGTTGGCCTCCGACAGGGCAGCCCTTTGTCACCGGTTCTGTTCACTGTATTTATGGACAGAATTTCTAGGCGCAGCCAGGGGCCGGAGGGGGTCCGGGTCGGGAACCACAGGATTTCATCTCTACTTTTTGCGGATGATGTCGTCCTGCTGGCTCCAACAAACCAGGACCTGCAGCATGCACTGGGACGGTTTGCAGCCGAGTGCGAAACGGCTGGGATGAGAATCAGCACCTCCAAATCCGAGGCCATGGTGCTCGACCGGAAAAAGGTGCCTTGCCCTCTACAGGTGGGTGGAGAGGTCCTTCCTCAAGTGGAGGAGTTCAAGTATCTCGGGGTCTTGTTCACGAGTGAGGGAAGAATGGAGCGTGAGATTGACAGGCGGATCGGTGCAGCGTGCGCAGTTATGCGGTCGCTGTATCGGACCGTTGTGGTGAAGAGGGAGCTGAGCCGAAAGGCAAAGCTCTCGATTTACCGGTCAATCTTCGTTCCCTCCCTCACCTATGGTCATGAGCTTTGGGTAATGACCGAAAGAACGAGATCGCGGATACAAGCGGTTGAAATGAGCTTCCTCCGCAGAGTGGCTGGGCGCTCCCTTAGAGATAGGGTGAGGAGCTCAGAGTAGAGCCGCTGCTTCTCCACGTCGAGAGGAACCAGTTGAGGTGGCTCGGGCATCTGTTCAGGATGCCTCCTGGACGCCTTCCTGGGGAGGTGTTCCGGGCAAGTCCCACCGGGAGGAGGCCCCGGGGAAGACCCAGGACACGCTGGAGAGACTATGTCTCTCAGCTGGCCTGGGAACGCCTTGGGGTCCCCCTGGACGAGCTGGAGGAGGTGTGTGTGGATAGGGAAGTCTGGGCGTCTCTGCTTAGACTGCTGCCCCCGCGACCCGGCAACGGATAAAGCGGAAGAAAATGGATGGATGGATGGACGTATCATGTTGTGCTGTAGACAGAAAAGCCACAGAAAAGTGGACTATTGCTAATGCTACCAGCAAAATGTACATATAAATCTGCTCCAGTGTAAGGGGATGCATTGTTAACAATAATGATAAAGATCATGTAGGGTGAATTTGGGCAAAAATATACATTTTATTTAA